TCAGGAAGTCTCTTATATACAGAGTGTACCGCAATCTCATGTTGAGTGCTTTGCCCTCTGGTGATCGCACTTGTTAGAGAACAGTGCCCATATGGGTGGCATACACAATGCCTCCTCCTGTCTGTACAGGAAATGGCTTGTTCCCAAGATTTATAAGGGTTTTAGGCTCAAAGTCAGTAAGCTCGTTCATTATGTGAATATCTGATCCGCTGTCCTATAGCAAGAGCTGGTGAGGGGACATTGCCTTGCTGCTAAATGCATAATTGGCGCATGCAACAGCCACTCTTAGCATTGCCAAAGAGATCTGGCCTCATTGCGGCGCTCTTTCTCTGGTTTGTAGGAATGCCTTCTCCCTGGGGTATAGGAAGCAGCTGACAAGGCTGCTACTAAGGTCTGCTAGCGTAGCCTTAACCTTAGCCAAAATCCTGGCAAATCTGCCGTTGTACTTCTGGTTAGGTATGCTGTAGCACTCCTGATCAGTGAGAGCCCTGGCATAAATCTCTTCATTGTACCACCTCTAGAGGTCGATCATGGCGCTGCCTCCCGTGACAGAGTTATTCCAGCCGTTCTTTGGGCATCAGCAAAGTCTTTAAGCCCTGCTGGGGGTTGCGGCTGTGATTGTGAAGCATAGTGGGAGGCTCCTTGCGAGGCTCCCGCTCCCTTATCATCATGATTGCTGCCCTTGCGTACAGCGTTATTGTCGGCGTTCTGTTTGTTGGGGCAGTTCCTGGCAATATGGCCCATTTCACCGCAGTTATAGTATCGTATGCCACTCTGACTGTTGCGGTCAGACTGATAAGGGCGTCTGCCATGGCCTCTGCCCCTATTTTTGCCGTTCCAGCGGCCCCTATTCAAAGGATTGCTGCTGTTCTGGTTATTAGAGTGGCCTTGCTGAGATTCAGCTTGGTTGGTGGAGCCGCCCTTCTTCTCTGGGTTGGCCTTCTTGCCAATACGATCGTGAAACTCTTTGTTGAAATTGTTGATAATCTGTTCAAGGGTCATGGGCTATGACTCCCTGGCGATATTGATACGGCACACCCAGAAGCTGACCTTAGGGCGTGCTTTCTCAAGGAACAGAAGTATCAGCTTATTCTTATATGTAACTGACTTGATGTCACAGTCCTTGCAAGCGCGTACTCTCTTGCGCCATTTTGTGATATATACAATTGGACAGTTGCTGTTGTATATGAGCTCTATTAGTTGCTTCTAGACGAGGCCTCGCTTGAACTCTCTGGTGAGCGTGTATGAGCGATAGAAGAGCTCCAACATCTCTTTACCATCTCTGATACCTTTAATTAGGGCAACAGGGCTGAGTTTTGATTTTGGATCAGTCTTAGAGGTCTTCTGTATGATCTTTGCGAGCTTTAAGCGATCAAATTGAGTGAGCTCTCGGCCTGGTTTGTAACCGATTACTTCCATGCTGACAGAAAGGGTTTCAAGCCATTCTTTAAAATTGTCAGGGCCAGTGAAAAGCTGATCCTTTGTCCATTCGCTATTTTTCAGCTTATCTAAGGCAAGGTCCTTGTTCTTGCGGGACTTCTTCTTCTCTTAGTGACAGCAATGGTGCCGAAAGTGGTGCCACTCGTCATCTGAATCATCTGATGAGCTCATATCAGACGAGCTGGAGGAGTCAAAAGGCGGGCTTGATCCGTCAAACACGCATTGCATGCCAAACTGGGAAAGAGGCTCAAAGATCGACTGCGATCGGCGCAATCTCTCTCTTTTGATGGATTTTATAATATCTTTGCCGCCCCTGTTAAGGGTGACTCCTTGCCCAAGAAGCGCCAAAAGCCCAGTATTTGTGGCTGGGGGATCCTGATACTTGCTCCACTTCTTGACGGAATGAGGCTCCGATTCCGTTCCTGGAAATCCCTCATGAGTCTAAGGGTCAAGGCAAGCGCCACTTGTTTTAGAGGTATTGGCGCTCTTGGCTCTCAGTTCTTGTTGTTTGGCAAGTCTCTTATTGGCCTCAGCAAGAGCTTGCTTGTATATATCGCGCTCTTTCTAGGTGCGCTTGTACTCTTTGGTGAGCTCTCGTGTGGTCTCTTAGACCTTATTGATATGATCTTTCATATTTGAGAGGTTCTTGATCTCTGCGAAAGTAAAGTGGCGGTCTGACTTTTGTCTTTTGTGCTTTTTTGGCGCGTGTGCCTTTTAAAATTTGTGCTCAGAGGGTAGGGGAGATCTCCTCGTTGTCTCCTTTATAACAGGCGATCTCATCTTTGTCGCTGTCCTAATTGGTGTCTCTTGCGCTGCTATAGGGCTCTTTCTGGCCCTCTTCGCTCTCATAGTAGCCGGTAACTGGCTTGTACTGGCGGTCCTCAATGCCTCCTTGGGCATTCGAATACTCTGAAACCTCATCCTGCTCAACGGCAGCGGCGTGCTGACAATCGTCATCGCGATCTTCCGCTTTAACCACCTTCTTATACGCTCGCAGCTGCGTGCAAGGTGTGACGATGCACTGGCCTCCTTGGCTTGCCCTGCTCTGTAGTAGTCGGTGTGGTGGGATCCATCGTATTGTTTATTCGACAGTTAGAGGAACAACAGATTTGTATGATTGTAGCAATAACTCAACAGTAAACTGAACGAGATGCTACCATGTGAGATTCTAGAAGGGTCACAAGCTTTGGGGGTGTAAGCGGTCGCTACAAACGTTGTTGTCATTCTCAAGTATGCTCGGCAGCGCTAATCTAAAGCTAAATACCATACTGCACCATGACAGGGTGGATCCACTGGTCCTCTGGCAGCCCCTAGCGTATACTGCACTTAAGGGCATCATATCTGGGATCCAACATCTAATACCTTATTATAAATATAAATCAAAGCATTTTTCATAAAATACAAAATATGTATAATATAATTAAAAGGCTTAACAAACGCGAACTTATCAAAGGATATTTTAATATAGCATTAAATACGCTAATCATTTTCTTGAAATAAAATATTTTTATTTCTTAAAAATATTGAAAAGTCTATATCTTATCAACGTTAAAAGGTCAAATTATTAGTAGGTCAATAATAAATTTTGATAAAACAGTTTATATAAGAAAAATGCTTATAAAAGTAGCCGTTCTTAGGTAAAAGATCCTAGTTTTAAATGCGTACTACTTAAAAATCTTTAAAAAAGCCCTTTTACCTTAAAGTAAATTAATAGCAGCGTAAAAGTTATTTTAAAAGTTAAAACCCTTAAACTTGAGCTATTTTACCTAAGCATGTTAACAACAAGACTTGATCGTAATAATCTTAATATAGCTAAAAGCTTATCTATAGTTAAGAAAATATCTTTTTAACTTTAAAAAAATTAATCTAAAACGAATTAATCTATTTAAGCTTTAGAAAATCAGATTTCTTAATTATTACGGATTTTCAAACTTAAAAAGCTAAAGACAAAGTTAAATTAATATACAGCTAAGTCGTCGTTATTAAAACCTTTTCTTAATTAAAAAAAGTGAAGTTATTTAACATGCCTTTTAATAATAAAAATAACATCAAGCTAAATATTAAAAAATTCGCATTATAAATAACCAGAGCTAAAAAAGTATTAGTATAATTTAAAAGCAATATATAAAAAAATAAAAAAATAATAATAATAATAAAATCCCTTTCTATTACTATTTTACGTGCCGTTAAAACATATTTATAAATTAATTAAATAATCAGATATAATAAAAAGCAAAGTAATATAACAATGATAATTTAAAAAACAAGCAACAAAACTTTCAAGTGAAAACGTTTAGAAGGAAATAACCGTAAAAAATCCGAAAATAAGACAAAAATAAATTAAAATAAAACGACGGTAAGAAGACTTTGAATTGATATTATTTATATTAAAAAATAATATAATATTTTAAACTATCATAATCCGACTGTTAAAGGACTTTAAAAATAACTTTATTAATATACGTCAAAAAACCATAAAACCAACTAAGTGTTAAGAGGAAGCGAGCAAGTATGGGGGTCAAATATGTTGTTGTGCGTGGGTTAGCTATCTAGCTAAGTGGGAGGACTGCACCCATTATATGGTGGCCGCTCCCTTATCTTATCTATCTAACCGCACTCTGATTGGCCAGGGCACCCACTTACAATGGGTCCCCTGGTGACGTGTGTCACAAGATCTAAGTATATATAAAGGTTGGACCCTTAGTGCCGTGATAGGTTCTTACGGAGTGACGTCGAAGCTGACTGAGTTCTCACCCGTGTCGCCCTTCGCACCCATCCCGCGGGCGATCGGCCCGAAGAAAACGCTTAGAACGGTGTCTGGTGAGGTTATCAATGACTTGGCTGGGGGATTGAAACGTCTAAGGGTCAACACGCAGGGCACATGGAAGACCGTGATGAGAAAAGTGTCAGGACAAGCCACGCCGCCGGTCGACGCTGCTTCTCTACCTGATGAAATGGGACATGACGAACTACGCCACGAGCATCAGATTTTGCAGGTATGTTTCCCGCCGCCTTTCCTTGGCTCCCCGACAGGATGACCAACAATGAGTTTAGGAGTTGAACGGTGGCGTGCACATCACTAGTCTCGTTGCTTTTCGAGACGACACTCTGCAAGTCGCTCGCCAGTTCAGGGCTGCCAGGAAGGCTCCCTGGGCTTGCTGATGCGTCATCATTCCTGGGAGGCTTGACAGGCCCTGTGCTTGTGGAGGAGTTTCTCGAAAATAGGACGTGGGAGACATTGATTGAGCGGTTGCAAGCGAGACAAAAGCCGACACCCAGTCGTATTCTCTGAAGCATGCTCCTATGCCGTAAGAACTCCTCGCGTTCTAATTTCGTGACTTCATGAATATTAACGTCCTCTTGATGTAGTTATCAAGGCGTGTATTGCCACGGCGTATCGGCGAACGCGGGACTTGGTGCGCCAGCACCTCTGGAGGTCCTACCATCAGCAGGCAGTCGTGTCAACCCCTCGAACCCGTCTCATACTGATATGAGCGTTGCTAATGGTATTTTGACCCATCTTGCCCCTACTTGGCCCATGACATTAACAAAGTCCAGTCATGTTCGGCAACCTGAACCCGGCGTTTAGGGAACATCAGATGGCTCCTATTGCGAAGTTAATCGATTTCGGCAACACGTACAGGATTGACGAAGCCGTGGAGGGAAACGCCCCACAGGCAAACCTGTTCAGAGCTGCAAGGGTATGTGACAAGTGGGCATAGAAAGATGCGGTGGTCGAACCCGATTGTGCTAACATCTAGTATACTACATCAGGCGGTGTACCTGGTCGCGGTTCGACGAAAACTACCCAACGTGAACGATACCGTAGGGAGAGTATATCAAGGTCTAAACACCCACGCCGCCGGTCTTTGCGACGGGTAGCCGGGGATGACCCAGCTCGCGCTGAGGGTCGACAATGGACTGCGGGATCTTCTTCGCAGATCATGTAAGTAGAGTGCAGCCTCAGGTCGAACAATGTGTACCAGAGCAGCTGACCAGAGTGGCTGCAAACCGTAGTGGCAACGAACATTGCAGACCGGCCGACGCTTGCTCAGATGTTGCAAGCTGCAACGGATGCCGTGAACAAGTCGTACGCGCTCGTTCTTAGGGGAAGGGAGACGGATGCAAGCGTACAAAGATTCGTGAGCGAGGTGATACTCAATGCGGACACTTAGTAGCGATGCTCGCCATCTACCGATACGGGTCCATACATGTACGGCATGTTGGGCAGGAGATGTACCTACCAGCGATGGGGAGACAGAGGCATGTAGTCGCCGGCCTTGACTTTCTTGCCCGGGGCGAGCCCAAGCGAGTAGCTCTATACGATCTTCTCGGTCAGGGTCTAGGGGGTTGCAGGAGTGGTTCGTCCCTCGACTCCTTTTTGTGTACGAGGGTGGAAATCTCCTACCCTTCTGGGGACCATGAAGATGATACCGACAATCACTTCTAGGTTACTACCGACTCCCTTGCCGGAAGATATGGTTGTTTGAGTAATGCAAAATAGGAGCCCGGCGTTTTTGCTTGCCTCGTAACAGCTCCTGGTGCGGTGCTCATGTCAATTCGAGTTGTCGCACGTGTGCAGTAGACCCAAACTTCACGTGAACTGAAAAGGGGTCCAGACTTAACTCTGCTAGTCCATACAGACTAATACATAGTCGCGATAATAGTCGCGATCTACCGGTAGGAAGTTCGGAAGTTGGTGGCCGTTGACTCCCCGGTTTCGTATCAATGACGTCGCCGACCAGGGTCCCTGTCGCCCCTGTTACGGCAGCTCACACCGTAACGGCGCTGTACCCCAGAATGGCAGAATGGCGAGTCCGGGAAAAGTATCGCTCGCCTCTCCATTGGTATCATCAGACCCAATGCCGGACCGTTTCGACTCCTTGGCAATGCCTTTGCCTTGGTCTTGTTTGGATATCTCTTTAAAAAGCTGATGTGACCTCATTTCGTTTCGAGTCGACGCCGGCCGCCCCTCCCACACTCCTGCGGTACCTTATTAATATTATGGGACCCCGTGTCCATCTCGTATTGAGAGAATGCCCCTAATTTCGTACGCCAACAAGGATACCCGCCCAACATGTCGTCCTCCGCCCAAGTTTCACACGACCCCGACGACGATAATAATAAGCTCCAACACCACGCGCCAGAGCGCCCTAGCTTCAATTCGCACGACACCACCGACCGATTGAGGGAGGCTTCCAGACTACCGCCGCAATCGACCGTCAGCAATATCAGAAAAGGGAGGAAATCCATATTCAGGGAAACAGGACTGCACGAACCACAACCCAATACCTCGAGAGAATTCGAAGAGAAGGAGTTTGGCAAGATCACCGGATTAGCGTCTGAGTATACATCACCGACGAAACGGAAAGGTTCAGTAGGCGAATCGACAAGGGAGAAGACAAGGTGGCTGTCCAGGCTGGCCCCATCACGGCGTCCGGCAATTAAGACAGCTGCCAGCGCGCCGACTGCCACCATCACGGGTCTGCACAGGCTCGCCATGATCGCACTACTTATTGCTGTGGTTCTCCCCGCCCTCAGTTACAATAATGGCCGTGGAAAGGTTGAGATCAGAGGCGCGGATGCGGGTGTAATCCAGAAACCTCCTGGCATCGTCCTCGAGAACCGGGCAGACAGCTCTACCGATGTCTGCAAGAGATGGGCCGGGCAGAGTGAGACACTTCCCAATCTCCCCATTCATTGGCGAACCGCTGATTTCGTCTAGGTGCCGCGGTGAACGGCACTCTGTATTACTTCGGAGGACGATCCAAGACGAGCGGCGACCAAACCTCGGATACATGGAGTATGTACAGGTATCAATCAACCTTGGTCAAGAGCGACGCGCTAATCGATAGATTCCAGACAACGATTTCCTCGCGCTCGACCTCACAAAGTCGTGGGACATCACCTCACCCGCCTTGAGCGGCCTTGCCCAGCCGTCTGGCCCGCCGGCTGTCTCACTGGGCTATCTCTGGAATGACTACGAGCACCTCTTCCTCTACGGCGGCGAGTTCTCCGACACACCAGTGACCACGCCCACCGCAGTCTCGACGTGGCAGTACGACATCGCGTCGTCCACGTGGACCGAGTTCAAAAACCCCGTCACGTCGGCCGGCAACTACTCGACTGCAGCAGACGTGCCCATCCAGCGGGCAGCAGAAGGCGCGGGCATTTCCGTGCCCGAGCTCGGCGTGAGCTGGTACTTCGGCGGCCATCTCGACGCGTACACCACCCCTGGGTGGTCGGTCCAGGTCGCGAGGGTGTATCTTCGGAGCCTGCTCGAGTTCACGCACCCGGGGTACGCCAACTCGGGCGTCGACTCGCTGCACGCCTCGGCCGCGCCCGACGGCGGCGCCTACCGCAACATCACGCAGGGCGGCATCCAGGATGAGGCCGGGTTCACGGAGCGCGCGGACGGCGCGCTCGTCTACGTTCCCGGCTGGGGCCCGAACGGCATCCTGCTCGGTCTCGGCGGGGGCGTCGTGACCGACAGCGACAGCAGCGCCGCCTTCGCTTCAATGACCACCATTGACGTCTACGACATCGAGTCGAGCGAGTGGTACCACCAGGAGACGTCGGGCGACGCGCCGCAGGTGCGCGTCAACCCGTGCACGGTCGTCTTCTCCGCCCCCGACGCGAGCTCTTTTAACGTCTACATGTACGGCGGGCAGAACCTGCTCCCGGTCGGCTCGCAGGTGCAGTACACGGACGTCTGGATCCTGACCATCCCCAGTTTCACGTGGATCAAGGTCGACACCTCCACCAGCACTAACCCAGCCGGGCGCGCGGGCCATCAGTGCGCGGCCCACGACGGGCAGATGGTCGTGTTCGGCGGCTACACGGGCAACGAGACGACGTGCGAGAACCCGGGCATCTTCAGCTTCGACGCCTCAAGCCTGGCGTGGAAGGACTCGTTCGCAGCGGCCGACCACGCCGCCGACATCGACCCCGACAACAGCATCCTGGCGGGCAGTTATGGGTACCAGGTCCCCGGCGCCGTGCAGTCCGTGATCGGCGGGTCCTCGGCCGGCGGCGCCACGGCGACGCAGCCCGCGTCGGGCCCCGCGACCGACGGGCCCTTCAAGACGGGCACGGCGCCCGTGTTCACCGTCACGGCGGCGGGCAGCACGGCGACCCCGACGACCGTGTCCGCCTCCTCGAGGCGCGCCAACACGGGCGGCCTCATCGCCGCGGGCGTCGTGGCCGGGCTCGCCGGGCTAGCAGCAATCTACCTGGGCTTCTGCGCCTGGCTGTGGCGGCGCCAGGTGCGCGCCTACAGGGCGCACATGGCGGTCGCGAACCGCTACTCCAACGATGGCAGTGACCGGCCCGGCATGGCCGAGAACCAGGCCGCCGAGGTCGCGGGAGCCGCGGGGATGATGCTCCCGACGGGGTCGCGCGACCGCGTCGAGCGCGAGAAGCTGCGCAAGTCTGCGGGTCCCCGAGGGACAGGGTCGTCTGGCGCTGGTAGTGATCAAGGAGAGCAGTTCGGGTGGGTGGGCCAGCAGCAGCACCTGGGCGAGCCGAAGTGGATGACGAGCAGCGAGGACCCGTCGCCGGGGTCCGGGTCGGCGATGACGGGGTCGGGGTCTGGACCTACGTCGATTCCGCGGCCCAGCGAGGACCGCAGTCCTTGGGGGTACGACAGTTATGCTGCGGGCGTGGGAAGGTCGAAGAGCGGCGCGAGTCGCGCGAGCGATGCGAGTGGGGCGAGCGCGGATGGGCTGATGGATGGACGGGAGCCGAATTTTTTTAGTATTGTGCTGGGGCCGAGGCGGGCGCTAAGGGTTGTTAATGGGATGGAGGATGCGGCGCCGGCGGCGTGATGATGAAGGAAGGCACTCTGTGTGTGCTACAGTTGATGGTTGGGTATTTTTTCTATCCAATGTGTTGCGATTTGAGCGAGCGAGTACATATATGCTTGGGTTAATTTTGCTCCTATTGTTGACCATATAGTATTCTGGGGAGGGAGAGGTATCTACGCTTTCTAGGTGCTGTGCTATGCTGTCTATACCGATTTTTATAATACATGAGATATGACCTCTAACGAGCAGCCATGTATGCCGGCAACGTCGTGATCTCGCCTTGATGGTCGTACCTAATCTTATCCCTGGATCAGCATCCATTGGGGCAGCCCATATGCCAAGGGATTTTTTCGTTGCTCGCTTTGGAGTTCGTACTGGTTGTTAAAAAGGTCGTGTCGGACATGAGTTCATCTAGATGGGAACTGGAGTTCGTGACGGACGTTGACTCGTGTGATATGAGTCTCTTCGGGATCAGACGTGCTACACTGGCACAATCGGGCTGTTATCTGCTATGGTTGACGAGAGCCGATATGTGCCCATACAGGCACCAACAAGCGTGTTTGGCATGGCTTATGTATTGTAGACCAGAGGAATGCCCAGGGTACGTAGGTGGTCTGGTCACAATGTGTGAATGCTTCAGTCAGGGACACTCGAAAGAACCCATATGTAGGTTTATTGACTCTTATGAACATATACGCATAACTTCGACGCCAACCACCCCAACGCCAGCCCTATGTGGATATCGTCGCGATGCACGCCAACGAAAGACCTCAGCCAACCTCATCTGCCAAGCAACCTGCTAGCTGTCTGTCACCTCAACAAAGAATGTCGGATCGGTAGTTCCGAAGCGAAAGAGTCCCGTCCTTGCAGATTGAGCATTCCGAGGTTGACACTCTCGCACATCTTCGTCAGGAACCGCTCAACCAAAGACGCCTCGTCCGTGTTGCCAACTTGCTTCAGCCGATCGGCCGCATCCAGAGCCAGACATATCATCCTCCTCTGCGACCGGGCAGTGAGGTGCATGTCTGCGACGTCGTCCGCGACCTGGTGTTTCAACCGCATGTACTCCACGGCAGCGGAATGGCTTGGCGTAGTCGGGTGGTGGAGCTCAAGATGAGCCAGGTCAAGCTGTAGCTTGAATGGCTGACCGAGTTCTAGGAAGGAGTCAAATAAGGGCGCACTCGGTTTGGGCCGTTGCCATCCGTTGACCGTCGAGGCCCAAGAAAGGTTCACCCATGACTCCCGAATGCTGGCAGCCGCCGCCCTACTGTGTGCGGGTGATAGTAATTCGTTTGCCCTAGAAAGCGCCGAATACGAGTTGTCGAGACTAACTTGTGCATCGCTACCCGACTCGCTGGTTTCTTTCATGAGGGCAGCAACGAGCTTGGCGAGAGACGGAGCACTGACTTTGCCGGGCGTCTTCTCAAGCTCCAATGCGCCCATCTGCGCAGCCAGACGTGCTAGCCACACCCATATCACTTCTTGGAGGCCCTCGGCATACATGAAGGGGATGATGCATTTGATCAAGGCACCGTCGGAGAGGAAGTGGAGGTCGTTCTCTTGCCCCGAGGCCCTTAGCCACTGGATGACATGGAGTCCGGCTCCAGATTGGGCCATGCGTTGCCGGACATGGTGAGGAGATTGGGCGACGATGTGGGAGCGGACGGCGGCAAGAAATCCGGCGGCGCGTCGTACATTCATAAGGCCCCTATGGACGGCGGAGTCGAACACGTCAAACGGGTTCTTGGTATTCGTGAGCGCGGTCGGCTGCGCTACGTCGTGCGAGTGGGAGAAGAGGGGGTTGGAGAGGATCGCACGTAAATGTCGGTCGGTCGGACGGTGGCTGGAAATGGGAGTATTCGGCAACAGAGCTGTCTTCGAAGTCGTGGTAGAGGGGGTAGAGGGGGTATGCGATGTGGTCTCGACATGCTGCCAAGGGTGCTCCTTGTCGAGGTTTTTCCTGAAAGAGGTCGTGATGGACTCCAGCAAATGCTGAGACTCCCGTTTACTGAGCGGTAGAGGGTGGTGTATCTGCGGCAGAAACCCCCGCTTCAGGGAGCTGAGCGGTGGTGTCCGAACAACCATCTCGACTTCAAGTTGGGACTTGGAGTCGCTGCTGAAGGCTGAGGCAGGTTGCGGGGGTCAGCACTGCACGGGGCAGGCTTCGAGAGAGGGAGTGAGCCGATGTTGTTCAATGCTGTTCAGCGAGCGAGTAGGCAGTCGGGAGAGCAACATCAAGGTGCCTGCGGTGGATCACGGGTTAAGTTGCATTCGGTTGTTGGCGAGGCAGTGAGCTTGGAGCCGTGAGTCGTGAGCTCCAGCTGTGAGACGGAACCCGCCCGACGTTTGACTGCCCGCATCATACGTTCGCCGTTGGCCCGTTCTCCAGAGTCTCCACCATCACGCGACCTGGGACGGCCTGGGGCTAGTCGTTGCATCACGTGATCCCCGACACTGGGAACATGGGAACGATTCGTGTGGAATCATCCGTGCCCGTAATAATAACTTCCCCAGAAAAAGGATGCAGGTCATACGGTCGTACCTGCCTGCAGTCCGGTGGCATGCGAGGCCTGCATGGCATTCTTGATATTCCAAGCAGATACAGGGGCTGTCGCTGCACAGGAGCTCCCTCGAGAGACCAGAATTCATATGCCTCTTCTCCTGCCTCCTGTGTGTTGACTACAGCCGCTAAACACCATTCTGAGCAGGAACGAATCTGACATCTCAAACTGTCATGATGAAGAAGCAGGGCGCGGAACATGGCACAGGTTCAGTTGGAGTTTGGAGGGCTGGAGGTCTCTGGAGAGTCGAGAATGAGGCAGCTGGAGGTCTTGTCCAGGTGTCCCAAGCTTACCATTGGCTGATTCCTGAGGTGTTCCCTTGGCAGCCCCTTAGCTCAGCCCCTTGGCCCCTCTGTAGGGCTCGCTGCAGTGCCCGCTTATCCAACTGCCATTGGCTGCTGGGCTCAGGATGTAACGAATATCCCTAGAATAAGTTAGGTACTTATCCATCTTCAACATGAACGTTATCAGATCAAGTGGCGCACTGTTTGCTCTCGCCTCAGCAAGTAACAAACAAATGTTTTAAATTGGATGAGAGGAAGGGACCTAGAACGAATCTAAGGTGCTGGACACGGTAAACAGGCAAGTACCGGTCTACAATAATTGATGGAATGAAGACACTGGTTGGGGCCTCGACACCAGATGTGAGGATGCACGTGCATAGATACCTTGGGAACTTAAATATTTAATCGCTTGGTGATTGGTTGCCCCCAGGATAGCTAGGGGTCGGTGGAAATTCAGATAATACAAGGCCGAAAAAGCCTAAAGGTCCAGTATCCACCCGACCCATTCCCAAATCTCGTGCCTGAGGTGTATCGCATGCAGCACAGCACAGCACAGCACAGCCAGCCCAGCAGCCATAGCTCTCTGCCTGTGTTGTTTCCCATCCAACTTACACGCCGCCCACGACTACACAATAATAATACGACGCAGATACGCACAGCGTTGGAGCTGTCCATTGTGTGAGTCTCCCAAACAAGCGAACAATGGCACAATTGGCACCCGCCGTCGCGCTTTTGACACGTCCGTAAACGACAACGGCGTTGGTCTGTCTGGCTCTGGCTGTCAGCCTCATCATTCTCTGCTGCCGTTGCTGCTGCTGCTGCACAACATTCCCAAAAAACCTAGTCGCACTCCATCGACTGACCTGACTCTTCTTTTCCTTCAACCGACTCATTGAACTGACCACCTCTGTTTTCAGTCACCCACCGTCCACTCCACACATTCAATACAAATCAATCCTCTCGACGTCCGCTTGCCGTTGCCGGCTTGAGCACTCCCGTCGACGAAGCCCCTTCTTCGAAGGGATCCATCCATACCTACATCTTACGACCACATCATCTCCGAAATGGCTGAAGTCCAGGCTAGATCCCAGACGGCGGCATCCGCGCGCGGTAGAGGTGGTGGCCGAGGCGGCAGAGGTGGCTTCGCCGCCCGTGGTGGTGCTAACAGACGAGCCAACGGCGACAAGTCCACAGCTGCAGACGCCCCCGCTGCCTCCGACGACGACGACGGCGACGTCGGCCAGCTGCGCAAGCAGTTCGGCGACAAGCTAGATCTCATCAAGGAACTCTTCCCGGACTGGTCTGATGCCGACATTCTCTACGCCCTCAAGGAAACCGATGGTGACGTTGAAGTCGCTGCTACGCGCATCGCTGATGGTACGCCCCAATGTTTTCGCTTCGTTATCACCTTGACTTTCATCACTGCGCCTCAACGCACGATGCCCTCTATTTGATGATGCTAACACGAACTGCTGGCAGGCACAATCTCTCAATGGGGCGAGGTATCGAAGCCCAAGAAAACCACTGCCCGTCCTAAGGCGAAAGACTCGGCTCCCTCCACTGGCCTCACTGAATCGTCCGGTAACAGCAGACCCGTGCGTGGAGGTCGTGTAGAAGGTGCTCGGGGTGGCCGTGGTCGCGGCAGTGAGAGGGCTCGTGGAGCGGGCAGAGGCCGGGCGACCTCCCTGACCCCGACGAATGGCCATCAATCCAAGCAGCAGCCGCTTTCTGTCCCTACTGATGAGTCCACTGGCTGGGGCACTACGAACGCAACCGAGGAGACCGGCGCGAACGACTGGAGCAATTCTGCTTGGGCTGCCGACTCGACTACTGAAACTGCCACTACTCCCACCCCCGCTGCTGCCACTACTGAAGGCTCTGCCAAATCTACCGTCATTCCTCAAGGCACTGGCAAGACTTGGGCCAGCATGCTCAGGCAGTCCACCGCTCCGAAAGTAGCACCGAAGCCCCAAGAAGCACCCGCCCCGATGCCTTCCGAAGCTCTGGAACCCCTCCCGCCTGCTGAGCCTGTTGCGCCTGAACTTGACGTGCCAGTTGAGGAGACAGCTGAGGAACCCGTCGAGTTGCCGGCCGCCGTCGAGACCCCGAAGGTAGTCGAGCCCGACACTACCATACCCCCGTCCGAAGACGACTTGACCAAGTTGAACCTTGAACAGCTTCCCGACGAGTCCAACCCTCCCGCAACTGCCACCGCAGCCAGCACTGCTGCCGATTCGTGGGACCCTCGCCAACAACAGCAGCAAAGCGCTACAGCCACACCGTTGTCAGCTGCACAGGCTCAACACCAGACTTCCCGCCCCACTACCAGCGGCTACGCGGCGACCGCTTTGAAAGCCACTGATCGCCCGGCTACTCGAATGCCTAGTTACCAGCGACGCTTGCTGGAGCAAGAGGAAGCTGTACGGATGCCCGGAAACCGGGAGGTGGATCGTGCTGCCGTACAATTCGGCGCTTTCAGCCTCAACGGTACCGAGGACGACATTGACGGTGATCGCGAAGACCCAGAGACACGAACTCAACCTCCCCCAGAGTCGCCAGTTGCAGTTCCCCGTGCCTCTCTTCCGCCCGTGTCACAGCCTGCGCATCCTGCACAGGTTTCTGATGCATTCTCCGCTCAGAAGCCAAACACTTCGTTGTCTCAGGCGCCTGGCACAGCTGGTACAATCCCCTCTCACTTTTACCAGGTTGACAACCCGACTAATGGTGTCCTAGCAACAGCTGTAGCACCTCCCACGGGTCCCGCCGCCGCGACTGTTCAGCGTATGTCGCAATACCCCCAGATTAATCACCCTACTGACCGTTTTGTAGCGCCCCAAGCGCCCCAGCAATACGGACGGTTCCCTCAGGCGAGCACACAGGAGCCTGCCGGTTTCCCGCAGAAATCTTACGACAGTTTCGGCCAGCAGACCGCAACAACCTCGGCCGGAAGCTTTGACAACTTCACCGCTCCTACCACCCAGCCATCTGGTCCTCAAAGCAGCAGCGCATTCAGCTCTGCCCCTAACGAATACTCGACTTACTCTGCGTATAACAACCCACAGAGTCGCAACGCCTATGACAACTACTACGGACAGCAATACGGCCAGCAGCAAGCTGGACAGGGTCACCACGATACACCGAACGCCCACAACCGTGGGTTTGGTGGCTACAATGCCTCTCAGAATGAGAACCTCAGCCAGTATCCGCAGAGCGGTGCCCAGCCGTCTCGATACCAAGCTGTCCCCTCTGCTGATGCCCACAACAGCGGACACAACACGCCAAACCCCGTCGGCCAGGCCCAGCCGCAAAGCTCTGCGCAAACCAACCAGTCCCAATCCAATCTCCACCAGCAGCAGCCGCCTGCTAACGCATACCCCTATGGTCATCCATACTACTCGAGCCCCTACTATTCTCAATACATGAACTACAGCGGAGGATATGGGCAGGGTGGATACGGCGGCGGCGGCGGCGGTGGCGGCGGCCCTTACGGTAAGGGGGGCGGCTATGTGCAGCCCCAATATGGCATGACACCTCAAGGTCCTTTTGACCACGGTTCCTCCCCAGCTGCCGGCGGCTTCGGACAGTCGTCTGTAGGCGGACGCGACAGTGGGCTAGGTTCCAGCGTTGACAACTACGGCCGCGCTGGATCTTCTCACTCCGGGGCTCCGGCTGGCCTCGGGGGCAGCAGCGGATTTGGAGGCATGCATGACACCTTTGCACGTGGCTCGGCTTACCCATCACAGGGTGGTCAGTCCTACAATGGTCCGAATGCGCCGGGATCCAACACGGCTGCTGGAGCTGACGATTTGAAGCCATATGGTGAGCCGAAGACTGCTGGCGGACCTAGCCCGTCTCTCGCTGCTGCGGCACGCCCGGGCTCCACTGCCAATGCTACACCGGCTGGATCTGGCCTTCCACCTCCCCAGTCGCAGCAAGGCATGGGTGGCTACGGAGGTTACCCTAGTCATCTCAGTCACGGTCTGCACGGCAACCAGACGGGAGGCAGCGGATATGGCCTAGGTGGTTCCGGCGGCCAAGGCCAAGGCTATGGCAACACCCCGTACGGTGGTGGTTATGGCGGCAACCAGAGCTTCGGCGGAAACCACTATGGTGGCCGGCAAGGTCAGCAAGGTGGAGGATGGGGCAATAACTACCACTAGGGGAGGTCGCGTTCGTTGTCGTCTGCTGAGCGCAGAAGTAAGCGCAACGGGACGCCGGCAGCCCCCATACGAACAAACGACATGCTTGATGATTTTGAGGATGAGTCTGAGGATGAATCCGCCTTCTTCTTCTGGCAGCGTCAGACAAAGGACATGCTTCATGACAAAGCTGAGGATGAATTTGTGGATGAAGCCGCCTTCTTCTGGCAGTTTCAGCAGGTCGAGGACGAAATCATGCGACAGCATCATCGTAGTTGATACTTGCGGCAGGGCATAGGATGGGCAAAAGTTCTTGCTACTAACTACTCTGGGTGGGGCATCACGTGTACTATTGTTTTCCTCAGGAATAGCATCGGGCAGAAAAGCTATTTTTAAGCTCAACTATTGCAACTGATACCACGGCGTGTAGAGTGAACAGGATGCATGAGTTATCAGATCGTGCGAACTGAGCCACCACTGTTCTGGGTAGGTTCGTTAGAGGTCTCTGTTCGGCACTTCGATCCATGTCCAGAACCGAGTGTACCTACTGCCGGTCCTTGAGTGTTCCTCCGCCTCCTTATCTTGCTTGGAGGAAGTTTCTTCAAGGTCTTACGAGATTCTGATTGATTAACCTAGGGTAGACACCGTTGCATTACGTGTTCGTTCGGCAAGAGGTTGCTGATCGAATGCTCTATGAAGCAGTTATGTGTTGACGGCTCATTCTGGCGTGTACGTCGACGATTTGAACTGCCACTTGTCTGTGCATAGGTATATTGTTTGCCCCGCTGAGTTCCTCGCTAGGAAGCATATTGCTTGTGTTCTGTTTTGTTCGTGGTATGGTACATTTGATTGGCCCTCTCTGTCTTGTCTGCCCCGAGCCTTCTAAGCTGTGGTGTGGCTTCATTTGTGTGTTATCTTTTACTGTTTGAGGATGGTTCGTGCCACCATATGGTAGGCAATGTGGTTGTGGTTGTATTCCTCGTCTGCAGAGTACAGGTAGCCACAGACGGTTGTCTGACATTGAACTACACATGTACGAACGAGTAGATGCTCATGAGTTAGCTGCGAGTAGCAAGGGCTGTTGCTTGCGAGGCAGGACACTCTGTTTACACGAGAAGCAACGAGGATTGGGGAACTAGGTGAGGAGATTGCGGGCCCGCCTGTTATGGCAGAACTGGGGGTTGATTCTCTTAAGGTAATATGGCGCCATTCGTGTTTTATTTGTTCGTGGAGATCCGGAGACCGAAGTATGGGAATCGTTGCGGTTTTTGGATGGCCGTGTTTGAACGACAGGTTCTGATTCTGGTAGCCGAGTAGTAGGGTATCGGAAACCTGACGCCCGTGAATGCTGTACTGGTTATCATGAGTTTTCCGCGACGCCGATTCTCTCGACAGAGTAGGAGTGGGAAGGCTATGGGACCTATGTATCTTATTCTCTGCGGCCGGGCTCGACGTTGACAGCTGTCTGTCTAAATAGGGGGCAGCTACGCGTTGGAGATTAACGCAAAGATTACCGACCTTGCTGATGCGGTTCGGTAGATGGTGGAAGGCCGGATACGTCTTGTGCCGTTTCTGGAAATTGGGGTATGGTTGAACCAGATTATGGAAGAAAAGTACATTTCGATCCCTGAAATAATGAATTTTGTGTCGGTTTCGACAGTGAGCCTTGCCAGGTACCTGTATACAAGGACTCGCACTCCCCCGTGCAAGAATACTTCAGGTTTCTTCTCGTTGAATGTTTCACAGAAAGTCGGAGTATCTTATCGTTTCCAAAGATACGACGTCAATGCCCCTGTCAATGACCGGCCCACGGTTCATTATTTCAGGGTCGACCTGCATTTAGATCGTGGTATCTGCTCACTCAGATTCTGTTTTCCGATACGTGTAGATGTACTTATATCAAGTGCCATCATCTATGCAATACATATCGATTGAGTATCCTTCAAGCTATACAAGTCTGAAGGTGCAGGGGCACTCCGGTCCTTTATAGGCCTGGTTGCTTTCATGTTACGTCACGATAGATGTCTGGTGGTGGGACATACGAGGTGCAGGAGTCCGAATCAACTCCCGATGCAGTAGCATGTCACTTTCTCAGTGGTAGGATAACTCAAAATCAGGTCGTGGGGAGGGAGAACGAGAGGGATAAGGGGCACAAGAGCAGAGTGGAGTAAGCTAGGTATGAGGCAGGAAAACCTACGAGCAAAAAAAAAGAGTGCAACACAAAGAATCAGCCCTGCCTCAGGGTCGAACTAAAGACCTTCTCGCCTGAGTTTCCTCACAACCTATCGGATGCCAGCATGAACCTCATCTTCGTGTAGCACACCCCTTAGACCAACTAGGATCTCGATTATTAGTTGAAGAAGCTCTCAACTTGCAATATCGATAGCAGTTGACCGTCAGGCAGCCACTTTGGGACCCAACCTCCCCCTTTGTAACCTGCAAGTGCCTCAGACACACTCTCTCAGCCTCACTCTAGGGGCACGTTTGCTTTACCACCACTTATTTGGTGTGCAAGGCACTCCCGAGCTACGTTTGTGCTGCCCCTTCTCTGCCACGATACTTCGACGTACTTGCTATATACAACACCATCGGAAGCCAGCTTTCCCCCTCTTCCAGCACCAGCACCCCCAACCACCCGCGCCCGCATTAGGCCATAGTCCCCGCGACCATCTTCTCAACCTGCACCGCTGCCAGGTGCTCGACTGTGTCTGGTTGCTGCCAGCTTTACCCCGTGCGGCCACCCATTGACGTTCCCAAGTCCACACTCTCGATCCCTATCATCCCGGCACGCCCAAGCCAGCACTCCCTATCCGGAACTCCCTATCCAGCACTCTATATCCAGCACTCCCAACCCAGCACTGGCACCACCAATAATCACATCCCGGCACGTTCATACCAGCACGAAGATATTGATGCTCATCCTGACGCTGGCCCAGATAGTACAGATAGGATATCACATCAACTGCATGATAATGCATAAAATTGTTTGTTTCTCGAGTATCGGTTTCCAGTCACAGCTGCACCATAAAGCTCGACACATACCAGAATACACAATGTACTAGGAATGAACTGATGTCAATGGGAAGATACAGCGTTAAATTTCGGCTCCAGGCTGGTTTTCCGACGCAAGTGAGCCTAGCCAGCCCTCAGCTGTACGTAGGTCTGGCCTGGGAGTATCGTGCTTCATAATGTGATATATCGCGCCAGCAGCTGGTAGTCTCCTGTTGTACGATGTATTACCGGGGCTGCTCAGGGGTGCTTACCTAGTCACTGCTTACAACTTGATCGACATTATGAACGCGTGGAGTTAGACTGGGCTGAAGGCCTACCAGTACCCTTCCCAGTTGGGAGGAACAAGCTTGTCCACCGATCTGCGCTGCTCATGGTCGTAGGGATGGAGTCTGAGAAACACAATACAACACATGTATTGTGTTGTATTGTGTTGTATTGTATCTTTCAGGCTTACACATGTGTTCCTTAGTAATGACTTAGTTAAAGGTACCTGGTAGTACTACAGACCACCAGAAATTCGGCTTGGAAATTGTCCGTGGCCGGGAAAATAGCCGGAATTACCTCAACCGGGGCTCGGAAGCGGTCCGGAAGTTTTTCCGGCTAAAAACACAAACACAGATGCAACACGTGTTATATAAGGTGTTTGTATTGTATTGTGTTTTTCAGTATCACACGGTGTTTTTTCACCCCCACATGGTCACCTCAGGCAGCGTTGACGTTGAAAAGGGGGTGGGGGTGGCGTGACATAAGCGATTGGCTGTAGCTGGGTGTGGCTGAGTTGATTGCTAAATTTAGCCACACAACGTGGGCCCGTGTGGCGTAAGACCGAACCGCCGCACAGGTCTGGTATCACATGCAGTAACCTTCAATTCAGGCCGTTGGGTGTGACCGTTCCATGTCTTTCATTCCTCGGCGCTCTCCATGACACACTTGTAACTCACCGTTGACCTAACCTACCTAGTCAAGCGACCATACTCATCTCCTTGCTTGATTCTTTAAGAGACTGCCTAGGATCACCCTACGCTATCAAACGACTGCTTCCGGCTGAGTACGCTTACCGTCGCTACGTGGGGTGTATCTCTTCACCGCCAACAATCCGACAGCGCTGCTCACGGAGATCCTTCGCAATGCCAGTCATCAATGGCGTGAAGATGGCTTGGTATGTCGGTTTGCTATTTTACCTATGTTGCTACTATCCTTCGTTGCCCAGCTGTCAGCGCGCTTCTCTCATTCGGGGCTCGAATAGACCCGAACACGTGGACTGCACTGATGTCTGTTTGCTAGTGAGCCATGCATAAGAGGCCACCGGGCGCCCTCATGTAGCCATGGAGATGGCAGGGTCATGGTGCCAGTCCGGAAGCCTGGTCGTCCGTTGCGAGATTGCCCTCATGCGAAGGGAAGCCAGTGCTCTTGCGACGCCATCACGGTCGCGATACCCCGGAAGAGGAAGTGCGCGTGTTCACACGATGTAGAATCGTCTGAAGACGCCGACATGAAAAGACATCAGCACTTCTCATTAAGTCCCAGCGCGACAGAACGACCCGAAAGCTCCTTTCCTCCCACGCCCAGCGCCTCTTCAACAGGCGTTGAAGATGTCGTGGAGATGCGCACGGAGAGTAAAGGTTCATTTCACGGGACACTATCACCCGCGAACTACGATTCATCGCCGCCGAATGGATCCATACCGGCCGGGACTGCTTCTTTCAACGTACCCCATGGTCCGACCGCCCCATCTGGCCCAGTTCCCCTTCAAGGCTCGAGCTGCTGTGCAGGCAAAGCAAGAATCGCGCGTTCCTCTGCTCAGATGCCAGGAATGATCGCGCCTTCCTCTACTCAGATAACGGGAAGCATTGCGCCTTCCTCTACTCAGATGTCAGGTTGCTGTCAGCCCACGGCTCCCGCTACACCCAGTCCTCCAACAAACTATACGATGCCTCAGGTGATGCCTCAAATGATACCTCAAATGCCGCCCCTCAACGTACGAGCGGGTAGCAGCTGCGGGGTAGCAGTGGGAGCAATGCAATTGCCACCGAACGCGATTCCCGCCATGCCAGTCCAACCCCTCGCCTTCAGTCTCCCACTTTGCACAGGCTGCCTTACCAACACACAAGCCACTTTCTTGATCTACCCATCTCTACAGGGCAATGTCGTGGAACGTGCTGATCCAGCGACCCTACCACAGCGGCTTGAGGGTGCCAATGTTGTGTATGTGGCGATCCCCTGCGGGCCCAACGCGCCACCAGGCCCATATGCACATGCACATCCCCAGCCAACAACCCCTTGGCTTCCGAATAGCCACATCCCACATCAATCACACCCTCTTCAGCGGCAGAACGAGACCTATAGCAATGCGCATGCGGCACACGAGTGTCTTTGCGGGCCAGGATGCGAGTGCTTGGGCTGCATTGATCACCCGTTCAACAGTGCCACGGAAGCATATGTCCAATCCGCCTATCACTTGAGCAATTCGGAGTGGAACGGCGGCGCGGGATTGACGGGGGAGTCCAATGGAGCCGGGTTACAAAGCGCCGGGCATGCCACACCGCAAGAAGAGACCAGCGACGACATCTCTTTGCAATTAGCTCTAGCAGGCTTGACCAACAATTCCCCTCCGGGACAGGTCGTCGACCCGAACAGTTTCTTCTTCGTCGAGTACCCGATCGATCTGGCCTACACCGATAACAACGCTGGCCCAAGCGGACGTGCCGCTGCTGCAGACCTGGCCAACGGGAGGAGGAACGATTGTGATATGCTGTGATATCAGGCGTTTGGGTCATGATGCCGAGGGCTGATCCCGGCAGCAGCATCTTCATCTCACATATAGTCAAGGATGCTCGCCAAAGATGCTCGCCAAAAATGCTCGCATTCCGTTCACGTTGAAACTATTCTACCTAAGACTAAACTCGCAGGTACTGGAGCATCTAATGTGACCAATGAAATACCACAAGCACACCAAGAAATACATCGTGGACAATGTTCGCGGGCAGAGCATCAAAGAGTACCCCTCCCTCCGCGGAGCTCCTGCGTTTCAATGTCAGAGGCAAGCAGGGTTCCCCTCCAGGTGACTCTCCGCCACGCTATATCAGTTTTGGCTGGTGGCGCGCAGTTGGTGCATGGTGGGTGGATATGAGCAAATATGCGCAGGTTTCCTACGCATCGGATCACGCTACTGACTGCATGGTCTTACATGTATGTAAGATGCCCAGCTCACACTACATCTTCCTGACTGTGGTACACCGCTGATATCGAGTTCAGGCTCCTAGCATTGTGCGTACATAAGCGGTCATTCCAGCTTACGACCGGTGCCCTGGGCGGACTCGGTATCGGTCAATTTATGCTGGGTATGCATAGTAGATAGAGCCTGACGTTTGATAGCCGGGCTATACGTTGTCTATCTTCCTCTCTATCGAGTTGGTATTCGTGTCCAATACCAATCTTCGTCTTATGGTCCTCATATCTGGCGTATTGCAGCGGGCACTTGCACGTGAATCTGCTGTACTGGTGTATGTATGTGCGTGGAGGCTGTGGCACGGAAGGTGGGCTAAACCCTTATATGGTGCCCTGGACGGTCACCCGGGCCAGCAACAGCATTCTGTCTACTTCTCGTCAGGTGTGACGGTCGGTGACCGTACACGAGTATATGAATCCCATTATCTAGCTGGTGCTTCCGCCATCTAGATTCCGACCCTTTTGTCGAAGAGCCGGCGGAGCTGTCCACGCTGGGACACGGTGGCTCAGTGGTTGGGTTCTGATACCGCCGTGACCATCAGGCCCTCCATGTCGGCGTCGTAGGCCGTAGGTAGACGACCCACCCCCTCAAGTGCTACTTGAAGTTTCCGTTTCCCAGCCCGGTTCCCTGAGATGGTTGGAGGGCAGAATTCTGTGAATATACTTGGCGCCTGGACTGTCGTGACCGTGAAAGAGTTCAGAAATTCGCTCATACGAAAGAGTCTGGAATCCGCCCCACGGGGACTCGTGATTTTGGAAAAGCGTCTCAAGTGCTGGTTATAGGTACGCATAGTGTCAAGAACATCCACCCATAAGCCGCTCAGCACGCTGACTCTTGACAATTGGAGTGTCACCCTCTGCTGGACCCCCGCAAGGAACCTCCGGAGCTCTTCTAGATGGAGTGGGCCCTCGAAAAAGAACTTGCGAAGTCGCGGCCACTTCCTAGTTAGGAGTAGGCTTCCAGGGCTCGAGCCTGGCGGTACTTGTGTCGCTCCCTGCCAGAAGAATTGTAAGTTTATATCAATGCTTTCGATCGAGTTGTTGTCGATGAAGGCTTCCAAGAAACACCTGAGGTGTTCCCACTGGAAAATGTCCCACGAGCTGAAGTTAGGGCTGCGACTGCGAAGAGGAGAGGGCCGAAATGTGAATTTCTTGAGTTGTCGCATAGCGATACTGAGGTCGTTGATGTCTTGTAGATCCCCGCAATAATGCGAGACATCGCCGACGGGTGCAATGCGATAGTCGATGTCTGTCAACATGACTCCCGTTTTGCAAATAGCCGATGTGACTTGCCCGACTACCTCAACAAACGGTTGGTAACTGAGGCCGTTCTCGTCTGCTTCCTCCCAGTCCATCGGCTGGACCATGTAATTGGTAAGTCGAGTGGGCGTCCCCATGGCCTGGGTGAAGGAATCGGCATCGCTGTATAACCAAGTGCGCTCTTCATTATAATTGCCAATGAAGAGGGACATTGCAGCGGGCATGCGTGACACACCATCAGCTACCGCTTGGGCGAATGTTCCATCGGTCCGAGCTCGTTCCTGGTCGAGATATCCCTGGAGGTACAACTCATGGGCATTGACTAGGAGTGTATAATTCTCCCTACCGTGGCCATCGAGCATGTCGGCTGGAATACCAGAGATATATTGTCCCATGCTTGTTCCATCAGTACATATTTGGGGAGGGCCTCTCGTTCGGCATGTCCTATCGACGATGGTCCGTGACCTTGGTCTCTCACCCCAAACGTCCGCAAGTGGTCCAGCTGAACTTCCACGAACGCGCGGAACTCATTCGCCAGCTCAGAGGCAAATAAATCCAGTCTCACGTTGACCCGACGTACCCCCTTCGCAATCGAAGGTGCCGAGAAATCCGGTCGAGCCTTGCGAGAGACGCCGTGGTCATGAAGACCGAGACGGCGGGGGTGAGCAGATGAGAGCTCGCATCGCAGAAACGTCGACACCAATCGAACTACGGGGATCTCCAGCGGCTCGTCGGAATAAGGTTCACTGAGGAAGCTGAATACATGAGTCAGGATCTCATTGGGAAGTCGAGAATATGCGGCGAGCCTATTGAGGGGCCGGCATGGCGGTCATCGTGTGTCGCGTTGGCCATGAAGGGATGGAAGTGGATGTTCATGAATTCTTGTACTGACTTATCAACACATCATCGTTGACCAGACACCGGGTCGAGCCACAACAAGCCACAACAACTAGCCACAGCTGGTATCCACCTTATTGCGAACCCCCTTTACACTGTTGGGCCTCGACCCGACTCGTCACAGATGCGAAGTACCTCCTCCGTCCAAACCGCTGTTAGATGATCATGGCTTACCTAGTCCATGGTCCTGTAATCGAAGACAATTGTGCCGTTCCTGACCGTGAGAATCGAATCTGCGCTTTTGAACTCTCGTTGGGGTATGGGCAAGCGCAACAAGTCAATAAGTTAGTCATAAGGTTCATCGCCCTATTTCTTCTAGCATTGACAGGAATACAGATTGTTGAGGTGTGGCCATGATAGGAAGAAACCTTCTAATCCTCGATTAATATGTCAATCCTTGATGTCTGCTATACAAGACCATGACTCGGCGGACGCCAGTATTTTCCTTCTGATATGAAGAGTCCACGAGAACTGCAGTGTCGTGTGGCTAACTGCAGTTGTAGATCATGATACCCCCAATGTGCTCTCGCTTGCCTAATGTCAGGAAGCGTACAAAGGAACCTTTCGTGTACATATACGGGGCTCCCACACCTGATCAGTGTACTTTAGCTCCCTGCAGAACAACTCCCCCCATATGGTTGGCCTTCTGACAATCACATCCTGGGCCTCTCTTCCTCCCTGGCTAGTGGTGTCTCTGATCCGCTGCTGAGAGGATTCGTGGCACGGCGTTAAGTTGTGTGAACGCAGCCCGCGGAAGTGCCACTGTTGAAGCTGGCTTCGATGCCGGCTTCCTTGAAAGGTCGGATAGCTAGTTCGAGCTCACGGCGCCCTATGCCTCCCACGCGTAGTTCCATGAACAGTTGCAGGCGCAGTTCCTGGCTCTCCTTCCGAAGCCGTGCCCGGAATCGCTGGGGTGCCTCAACGTCCAGAATCAATTTGACTTCGTTCAAGTTGGGAAACTGGCCTCCCATCGCGTCTTGCGTAAAACGTACGATTGCCACCAGGACACGATCATCTGATAGGGTCAAGGTGAAACTTTTGATGGAATGCGGGAGGTCGATCAATGCGGTGTCCGGAGATCGACTAAGCTCTGCGTCTACCCAAAGAGTTTGCTGCGTGATATGAAGAGTCTCCAACTTCGAGAAGTCCTTCAGGCTATGGAGAAATTCTTCTCTTCGGCCTCGAAGTACCAAATCGGCTCTGTGATGCAGAGCTCGAGTGTTCGAAGCGATGACATGGAAGGAGCGAGAGCCCTAACAATTTCGCCCGGCGTGGCTCCCCTGTAAGTCCCGGGTGATGAAGGCTCACGTAAGATCCCATGAGGTTCTGAACTGTACGCGAAGTGTTCCAAATACCGCAGGCCGTCGGGAAATAGGTTCTTCAAACAAGGCCGGGTCAAGATGTTCGAGTGAAGAACCAGTGAGCGGAGGTTGGCCAGTTTCATCTCTTCCATGCAAACTACACCACAGATGACTGTCAGATGTTCCAGATGTGGTGCAGCATGGTAAACCTCCTTGAGGCCGCCAATATCGGAGTAGTTTGTTTGCCCCACGGGATTTTCGGGGTAAACATCGAAAGGATCCAGAGGAAATAGACCGCCACCGTACCCGCCACTGGGGCCGTACACAATTGACTTGAGGCTTAGTGATGATCTTGGCTCTAGAACGTGGAACCTGTCTAGACCGAACAACGAGACCGAGGCCAACTTGGGTAGGGTGGGGAGAACAAGCTGTATCAATAATAACGTAGCGGGGACTTTCTGGAATGTGCAATAACCGCTTTGCTCATCGGGAGCCCAGCTTAAATACGCGGCAACGTCTTCGTATCCCAGCTTCTTGACAAGTTGTTCTGGCTGGGGCAGGGGAAAACGTGGCATCCGAGATGCTCTGAAAGTAGTCTCACGCCGCGCGAGGATGGGATCCTCAAGAATGCGAATTGTGTAGGGGAGAAGGGGAAAATAGTCGCGGCAAGACATCCAACGTGTCATCGAGCCTATCTGGACGAGCAACGGAGACGCCACGGCATGCAGCACCTTGCAAGATCGAGATAGACTGACCATGCCGGCGAGAGATGCGTCAGCCACGTTGAGATCATCAAAGATCTGGTGTTGAGACTCGTCGCAGTTCGACACGAGACATGCGCATACCTCAACGACAATCGCGAGTGGAAGGTCGAGTAGTTTAAAGGCGGCCATGCCGTTTGAATAATGAAAACGACCCTCAGTTCCGGTCAGCTCCAAGTTAAATCAGCAGAGGGTTGGCCACGACTTACTCAGAGTCTATTGATTGGTTTGGCAACGAAAGTCCAAAGCCCGGAGGCATGTGATGTGATTAAAATGTCACTTGCTAGGATGTTATTTATTGTAAGTATTCCGTTAGGCAACCACTCAAGAGGTTGAATTTGCTTCATAATAGAAACACACAGTTCACTGAATGCCTCCGTTTCTAACTGTTTCGATTTTCTGTCGATACTGATAGATACTGCTGCCTTGGTTGTGAGACGCCTTGCTCTTTGTGTCGTACTAGCGGAGAAGAGTTATGCGCTTGTATGAGTCTTGGCAGTTGAAAGCATACCCCTTTTCTGTATTAGACAGGCATGCATGAGGAGTGTGTAAGAACTACGAATTCCAAGGATTTATTGACTGTACCTCTTACACGACGTGTCGGGCTCGGGCTCAGACGCCAGATGAAGCCACTGAATGCAGTCTATTAGCGAAGGGAGTCGAACCTGGAAGGCAGTTATGCCTTGACAACTTCAGCTCAGCCTCTCTTCCATAGATAACTTACGCCTGCCTGAGCGTGTGGCAAGTATCGATTGAGTGGTTTGCACCGATATTTGCTCAAACTGGAAGACAGTACATGATGTGTTACGATTCTCTCAGTTCATATCAGGGAAGCTTTTTTCGCGTACTGGTTTAGTTCTCAACATTAAAATCCACGTAAGTCATCCCACAAATCCACTCGATGACCCCACGGCCTCTCTCTCTCTGTGCGTGTGTGTGTGTGTGTGTGTGTGTGTGTGTATATGTGTGCGCGCGTGCATTGTCAGTAGAGTGGAATAAAAGTACATACGCTACCAGGGTCCTCAGCGTACGAGTAGGTTGTTGCCATACTCGACCGACCCAGTCCTTGACATGTCTAACCCCTGATCAGTCAGCGACGCGATGAGCTTCTCGGCCACCTTCGGGTTGCCAGGGAAGTGGTATAAACCGGTCGATGTGCAGCGGCTCCATCTACTGGTTGGCGGGCCCAATGCGCCCGTCAGCGATGCTGACGGCGATGGTGGGCATGTGGTTGCGGAGAAGCTCCCGAAGTGGTCGTCGAGGAAGGCGAAGACTACATGGAGTTTGGCATCTCGCAGCGTCTTGCTCAGCGCCGGCGTCGCCTCCTCGATTCGCCGTCGTCAGGCATTGCCGTCTCGGGGAAGCCGATGGCCCGCTTTCGGTCGTGTTAGTCTTTGGTGGTTTGGTTGGGAACTGGGGCGGACTTGCCTGGCGGGTGCGAGAGACTGCTGCCACTATTTTGCCCATGGTGATTGTGATCTGTTATGTGATGATTAAGGCTGTGTACAGACGGTCGTACTTGAAGTGTCTACTTATTTCGACCAAATGGGAAGGTATGATATTTACTGGCTTTTCTAGTCGTCCCTGCCAGCCCGGGTAGGCGCGTCGGGCGGCCAGCCGACGAAATGCCCCGCGATAACGCGACACGCCCTTCTCCGCTGCAAGATCAGCACACCGCCTCTACACAGACAGAACACCATCGTATGTTCAACAGGCCAATTCTTGCGCCGCTTACCCCGAAACTCTGAGTCCTGAAAGCTGATTGCATCGCAGGCCAGATGTCAAAAGGAGGAGAAAGTTCGTCGGAGGCAGCCGTCCCGCCGGCCAAGAAGATCCTGGTGTTCGGCGCCACCGGTGTCATCGGCAAGGTCATCACAGCCGCGCTCATCAACGCAAAGGCCGAGTTCGCGCGCATCGGCATCTTCACCTCGGAGGCAACCTTCGCCGGAAAAGCGGCGCTTATCGACGCCATCTGCGAGGGCGGCGTCGACGTGATTGTTGGCGATGTCAATAATGATGCCCAGGTTTTGAACGCGTATCAAGGTGCGACAGCCCAGAACGCATGAGATTGGGATTGAGAGCGAGAGCGAGAGCTAAACGGCAGTTCAGCATTTGACACGGTCGTGAGCGCTGTTGGTCGCAATGCCATCGACAAGCAGATGAATCTCATCCGGCTCGCCGAGTCCTCAAGCACTATCACGCGCTTCATCCCTTCCGAGTACGGCACCGACATCGAGTACAACGCCTCATCAGCAGAGGAGAGGCCCCACCAGAAGAAGCTTCAGGTGCGGGCTTACATCTGGTCCTCCGTGTCAAGAATGCGGTACACGTATCTCGTGACGGGTCCGTTCGCAGACATGTACATGGGCCCCATGGCCCACGAGCCTCGCGCGGGAACCTTTGACGTAGTAAACAGAAAGGCCACGCTCCTAGGAGACGGAACCGGAAAGATCAGCCTGACGACTATGGCAGAGTGAGTTTGGCTTCTTCAACCACCCCGCCCTAGACTCTGGCTTTCTTTTCTGACATCCACCAGCGTCGGCCGCCTCCTCATTGCCGTGCTCCTGCACCCCGAAGCGAGCGACAACCGCGCCTTGAAAGTAAGTTCCTACACCACGACACCCAACGAGATCCTCGCCGAGTTCGAGCGCCAAACGGGATCGAAATGGGACGTCTCCTACACCCCCCTAGGGGACCTGCGGGGCCTGGAGAACAACGCTTGGCAAGAGGGCAGCCCAGTGGCGACTGTCTTCACGTTGCGGCGGATATGGACCGAGGGCAGCACGCTGTATGAGAAGACTGACAACGCGGCGCTGGGGATGGCGAAGATGGACACCCTGGAGATGTCGGTCCAGGAGACGATCTGGAAGGCACACGGTTGAAAGAGCAGTTGTTTCCAAGCAGTTAACTGACTAGGATACCCACTAGATCGCTGCTACACTACGTTAGTATGGTCCTTTGCTTGTTCAGACTCACGACTGCATCAGAGTGTTGTCCACAAATCTTAAGGCATTGCTTTCTAGTTTCTCTATATGATTCTCCCACTCCTGACCCTTTCACCTGCCTTCCATTATAGCGCCATCACCTCCCACGCCGTCTTCAGACCACAGGGTACTTCGGCCGTCCAGTAGTCAACCAGCCCGCCAGGTTCTCCATCAACGCCCGGTTATAATTATCATTAGTATCCGCCGCGCACCAGGCCACATGCGGCGTCGTGACCAGATTGAGGTCCGCCGTATCGGGCACCAGCAACGGGCTGCTCTCCGGACCCGCCGGCTCCTCCAAATACACATCCGCAGCCGCGCCCGCAATCGTCCCCCTCCTCAGCGCCTTCACCAGCGCCGCCTCGTCCACGATGCCGCCCCGCGACACGTTGACCAGCACCGCGCACGACCTCATGCCCGCGAGTTCGGCATCGGAAATCAGGTTGAGTGTCTCCGGGGACCGTGGGAGGCAGAGTACTATGACGGAGGCCTCGGCGAGGATGGTCTCGAACGGCGTGCGACCGCCGCCGCCGCCGCCTTCTGAGTATGATGGGGCGACCCCCTTCCGCGCCGCTATGAGCGTCTTCATGCCCAGCGCCTGGGCCGTCGACTCGATCTTCCTCCCTACGGCGCCGTAGCCAACGATGCCAAGCACCTCATCGCGACACGTCCGCGGCGGGTTGCCATCGGGTCCATTGAGAGTCCTCAGGAGGGTGCCCCGCCTGGGCCACTCCCCGGACCGCGTGAGCGTGTGCGTGAGCGCGATGGAGCGGCGCGCGGCGAAGTACGACGCGATGGCGTGCTCGGCGACGGCGGTGGCGTTGCAGTGGGGGGTGTTGGCTACCACGATCCCGCGGGCACGGCAGGCGGCTAGGTCGACTGAGTCGGTGCCGGATGCGACTACGGCGATCACTTTTAGGTGTGGGCTCACGTCTGCGCTCAGGACTTTGGCGCCGAGTGGGAGGGTCGTCATGATGACGATGTTGGCATCGCGGATTCGCTCGGCGATTTCATTGATATCCGGCTTGGTTCGCGTGTATTCTCGCACTTCGCATGTGTGCGGCGCCGGCAGCTGCAGGTCCGGCAGCGGACAGAAGAATGTCTCTAGTGCCACGATGGTGTGGTGCGTGTCTGGCTGGGACATTGTGGACGAGGTGGCAATCGTTGGCACTGGGTGAGACACAGACGGGCTTCGGCTTCTGCTACAGTTGAAGGCCTCACGAGGGTTCGGTGAGAAGCGTCAGTCACGAGAAATAATTCGGGCGGCATTCCCCTGCCGGGACCGGAGTTGTACGCTGATCGGACTCATCGGAGGGCGTGATGTCAGCGCCGGCCTCCACAGCGGTCACAGGGGGACTACCGACGCCCTATAGTTGACCACGTCGGTAATACTATACCCGGCATCCACCCAGCTTCAGCTTCCACATGTTAACGCTCGATACTGGACAACCGAGGTGGTAGTTATAGTACAAGAATTCCCCTTCCGCAGTCGAAGCAGTCACCGCCTCGGTGTCAGAAGCCGTCAAGAACCGAAGCGGTTACCCCGAACTCGCCTCATTCCGGACGAGGCTCGGAGTCCGTCTCAGTTCAACGACAAATATGAGAAACGTGCGCCTACTTGAAGCATCAGCGACCTGGTAGCAAAACACTCCAAGACTTGGACGCACATTGTCGTACTGTAACCGGTAGCCCCCCACCTAGTTGTTTTTTATACCAAGAGCGAAGCGCGATATTGTCAGGTGAACATTATCTCGCAAGACAACATCTTAATACCTACCTCGCTATTAGTGGGCACCAAAAGCAGAACAGTATGCCCGGCTGGCATCTCTTCCACGAGCTTCGTGGATCTGGGCAAGGTTGACTATACCTAGGAAGGACCTGTTCGTCAACTATCTGGGGTAAGTAGCACTGCGCGGTTTTCTCCATGGCCGGGATCTTCGGGATCTTCGAGGCCTGGAGTCACAATCAAGATGACCCCAGGTGGCTGGCTCATCAACTCCCGACAATGCCAGCTTCCTGGCTACGGGATACAGGCGATATGTTTCCGTACGGGGAGACTCGACGGGTTTCCATTCCTGAGGTCGGGCCATCCAGAATCATGTCTAACAGTGTCTTGGCGCCCCTGCGGGCCATGATCCTCTCCACCTCGCTCGTCATCTCCGTGTGCGTCGTCGACTCCATAATTATTGCCTACGATAGCTCCCTCATGGGCTCTCTCAGCGTCCTGGGGTGCTACACCAGCTACTTTGGCATCACGACGACGACCAAGGCGGTGAACTCAGCTGCCACCTGTATTGGCGCCGTACTGCTCGTCCTCTTTTCTGGTCGCCTGATCGATGCCGGGAGCCGGGAGCTGGGCATAGTGATCAGCGCTCTGCTGAATATCTTCGGGGCCGTTCTGGGCTGCGCCTCGCAGTACATTGCCATGACATCGGGTAGGCGCAGGTTTGGCGCAGACATCGGCGGGCACGTATGTTGGAGAGACTACGAGTCCGACCGACCGCCCTTTTGAACTAGGCCTCTACTTCACCTGCTGGGCTCTGGGCTCGTTCCTCGCTTCTGGAATCACCTGCGGTGTGAGTCTTGCCTGCTGGTCATCATGCTCCCGAACCAGCACAATAGCTGACAAACTAGAAACCTTCCACATTGGCCTGTAGGTGTCCTTTCCTGATGCAAGGTCTCCCTCCTTGATCGGATGCGTCCTGGCCGTGAAGATCGGTCGGCGACTTCTCTGCTTGGTGTCGCTCGCAACTTGCACGACCTTGTTCTACCTTCTCGGTGGGCTGAAAGCCCAATATGAAACGTCGACAGACACGTCTGGCGTCTATGGTCTATGATACCGCGGCCTGCATATTCCTGTTTCTGGGGGCGTACTCCTTCGGGCTTACACCAGTGATGAATATACACGGGCCCGGGGTGCTGTTGTACAATATCCGGGGTACAGGAATGACCATGGTCTTCCCATATCTCTTCCAGAGCCTTGGCTTGAAGACGTACATGGTCAATGCGTCCTGTAACATTCTCTTCTGGGTCTTTATCTGGTTCTCATGGGTTGAGACGAAGGGCAAGACCTTGGAGGACATCAATAAGTTGTCCGACGGAGAGAAGCACTCCGATATCACGGATCTGGATATGGTAAAGGATGAGCAGGACCTAGAGCTCAATGTTGAGCAGGTGATTCCAGAGAAGTGATAATGGATACCAGGAACTAGAACGCGCTGGTTTGACGACGATGGACATAACGACAGGCCATGCAGTAGAGGTAGAGGTTAGAGCTATCTGTGAACGCTATTTCATGATGCCACTCATCTCTACGTCGTGACCAGAAGCAGCAGTATTCTTTGACACCCATAGGGCCAAGGTCCCCTCTGCACGTAAGGTATGGCTCAAGGGGCACAGTCCGGGTTGAGATGACTGCCAAGACATCGCACCACCTGCATCTGCTTGACAAGTTGACCATGGCAATGTTGATCATCTGCAAATACATCATACAAGCCGGTTGCTTTCCAACACGTGATACGGGCAGGGCTGTACCATTTACCTGGCAGTCATAGTTGGAAGGAGTTGGGGACAATCGAGGCCATGGTTGATTTCCCAACGTCGCCAAGGCCCAACAGTACTTCCCGGAGAGAAACAGCTGAGGCACAGCGATCGTGGCTGTGAGCGAGCACGAGCCACATATACCCATTTCTTGCCTTTGGGCTTCTTTGATTGGATGTTGAGATATCGTCACCTAGCTTTGAATGGCGTAAAGGTGGCTGTCCATGCTTCACGCGCCTTCTTTCCATGGTTGGCGATGATCAGCCCATGTTGTGCCACAAACAGCAGCCCATCATGTGGCGATAGAGGGACAGAGGCAGAAGAGGGAGCAGTCGCTGTGCGGACGAGGCGGTCTAAGCCGCAATGCGCAATGCATGAATCGGCCTGTGGCGTCGCAGTTGCGCAGAATCCAGCACCGCCCGGCGAGCTGGTACCAATGACGTTACATATTCTCTGGGGGCGGATTCCCTCCAGCCCCTGATCAGCGTCAGCCCGAGCCCCTTGCATAAAACACACACATAGCATTAGCAACTGAATGACCTTGGTCACAGAACAAAATAACTTGATAGTATTCCAAGATTAGCCAGACCTTTAGGGCGACAGATAGTGTATGTTCTACCTGGGGTGAAACGCGCCGGGAATTCGCTGAAAGTTTGAAAAGTTGAAAACCAGGCACAGTTCACTGCGTGACTCAGCTCAGCTCAAAAGCTAATAAGGTGCCATGCCCCATAACGGCCCAGACTTCCGTCCAACCTGCAGGGGGCACCTCGTAACAGCCCCACGGGTAACCGGCCTGCGCTAGTGCAGTCCTCCAGCTGATGACGATGGGCAAGGTGCCACCTGCCAACCTGCCCGGTGGGCATACGTGATACAGGCTGTGGAGGATCGAAGGAACGATCGAGATTACCAGGTGGAGCAACGCATTAGGTAGGGACAGACCAGGCTGCCAGGGTAGAGTAGACACGATAAATATCCAGCGACCGTCTCAACTCTGCCTTTACCAAAACAAACATACAAACAAACCTACAACCAACCTACAACAGACAAACAAGCTTTCGTTCCTGAACGCCATCCCGAGCCAATTGCCAATTGACTTTGACCAGCTGCACCAATCACACCCAACCAACCACAATCACATCCATCCGAAAATGCAGCTCCAGAACCTCGTCCTCGCCGCCTCTCTGTCCGCCTTCGCCGCGGCGACGGATAACAATAGTACGTCAGCCCACTTCCTGCCATCATAAGACGAACGGCAACTGACCCAATCTCTACAGATGCCGTCGAAGCACGAGACGGAACCGACATCGGCAGCGTCATTGACTCCATTACCTCAGACGTCGGCGGCGCCGCCCAAACCGTTACCAATGGCGCAGGCAGCGTTGCGACCCAGATCACCGGCGGCGCAGGCAGCGTCCTGACCGACATCACAGGCGGCGCGGGCAGTGTGGCGACTCAGATCACCGGCGGCGCGGGTAGCGTCGCGACTCAGATCACAGGCGGTGCTGGCAGCGTCATAACCGACGCAAGCGGCGTCCTCTCCACCATCACTTCGGGCGCCGACAGCGTCGCCACCCAGGTCACCGGTGGCGCCGGCAGCGTCATTACCGACGCCAGCGGAGTCGTCGCCACCGTCACCTCGGGCGCGGGCAGCGTTGTGACCGACGCCAGCGGAGTCCTCTCTACCGTCACCTCCAAGGGCGGCAGCGTTGTCACCGACGCGAGCGGTGCCCTCTCTACTATCACCTCGGGCGCCGGCAACGTCGTGTCCACCATCAAGTCGGGCGGCAGCGACGTCCTGACCACCATCACCTCCAAGGCCGGTGAGGCCACCTCCAAGGCCGGCGATGCCACGTCCACCAGCAGCCCCGATGCTGCGCCGGCCGCGACCGCAGCTGTCGGCGGTGTGCTTGCTGGACTCGCCTTCGCGCTGCCCCTGATCCTGTGAGGGACTCTTGTATGAATGCAGGATAAGATCAGAGAGATGGATATATGTTTAGGGAGCGAGCGAGCATTGTTTCAGGCCCTGCCGTCATGAGCAGCGAACACTTGGTGGCATGATACCGGTCTGGGATGTACAACATTAGGTTGGAGTATGGCAGATTCGCTTTGTGTGCAACAGTGTATGGTTATCTCCAACCGCTTCGGGGGCAAAGCGTTAGTACCTTGCACATACATAATGAAAGACTGGCACATACCTTAAGGTGTAAGCATGATATCTGAAGTGTACTCATCATGTCGTCGACTAGCCTCGCCTTAATAACCCGCTGTTCAATATGTCTTCTCTCCAGTCGTTCGACTCGGCTTAGCACTCTCCATGGAGGCCTGTTCTTCCGCAGCCCTTCGATGATATCCTGGACAGGGTCAGTCCAGTTTCGGCCATGTCCGTAGAGATCGTCCACCGGGGCTGTGCCCAACTGCTCTCCGACTTCCAGCTCTCGAGCTGCTCGGTCACGAAGTCGATGATGCCCACACGCACCGTACGGGGCTCGTCGTTGCCGACAGGCAGGGTCAGGACGTGCCGCTTCGGCCAGCGGAAGTTGGCCGTCCGCCACAGCATCGCCGCCGTCGCGGCGTCAGGTCGTCGTACGAGACGTAGCCACCCGAATTCCGCCAAACAGCACTGGATGCGGCCGAAGAATCAGGAGATCCTCCCTTTACGGGCTACTGAAATGAGGAATCTCGCCGTCATCGGGCATGATGCCATGAAGCCCACCACAGGCGGGACCGGAAGCGTGGCTGTGAATCCACACTACATCACAACCCCCTTGGACTCACTATCAGCGGCAGTCAAGAGTGGGAACGGAGCAACTGAGGTCATGTACTCTCGCGGGATCTACACCGATCTTCAGCCACCGCCCTCGAATTCAGGTAGTTGTAGATACCATGACAATCAAATTCTCAATCGCCGTGATCATCAAGGACGTACTAAGCGAAGCATAAAATCTGTTTCTTATGAAATGTGTTCATCAAGGTCCTAGTTACCCAAAGGCTTCCCCGAAATAACAACTGTATATCCATCTATCATGACCAGCTTCCAATGCCGTATTTGGAACAGGATCTCGTGCTTCGACTTCGAATCTGGTATGAAGATGTGGTGATTCAATGCAGTCTCGTGAACTGAGAGGCCGAGTCTGAGGGACTAGTACAATGTTCGGCTAGTGATGTCGAGAACACGCAATAAGACTGATATAGCCTCGTAAAATACAACAATGCCCAGTATTATTACAGATTACACGGCAAATGCGGTGGCTGCTTGATAGCGAGCAGAAAGCATTCATATCGCCCTGCATCTAGCCTTGGGCGAGGTCAAGATACCTTATCAGTCAGCCCACGGGTCTGCCTCTGCCACGCCTTCATGGTTTTGAACATAACCAACTCCCAGCCGACGCCGCGCTCAGTCCTCTCGCTTTCCGGCGGGAGCTTCTTCAATTTGAAGTATCCCAGAGTCCCCAGCTTGTTATCTCTCCAGACCTTCGCCCTCGCCTCCACAAGCCGCTGCTTCTCGACCGCGAACTTTGTGTCCATGCGCTCGTTGTGCGCCTTGGTGCTTGCCTTCCATTCTGTCACGACCGTTGGTCTAAACGTGAAGGATCTACGCGGTTTCGACGCGTCGGTGGTTCTCCATTCGTTTTTTGGCATGTGGTGCACGAGCGAGGTCTCGAGCCCCAGCTGGCGGGACAGCTCCTGCGACCAGCAGACTGCGAGGCGGAAGTTGTCCATCCCGAGGGGCAGCCAGGTCGACAGGCCCGTACGCTCATACAGCACTTGATCAGTCCTCGTGAGGCTTTCGCCCTGGGTGTCGTCCGCCGTGCGGGCGGGGAACCTACGCAGGTTCATGATGCGGGTGTGCGCAGGTCCGGGCTCCGGGAGCGACTGGTCCGACATCAACTTTTCCGTGATGCTGGTGTAGTCAACCGAGCTATGATGGTCGTATACACCCCCAACGTGCAAGCTGATCCCAAAACTGGTAATGCCTGCCTTATTAACATCACCGTACGAGGTGGCAATGATCTTTGACGTTGCTTTCATACGGATGCTATACCCCACCCTCACGTTGCCGCTCTCGTCAGCATAAACCGGAATACCGAACTCGCGCCACAGGAGCTTTATGGTTGTGGTCGCCAGCAAGCTCATGTAGGTCGAAGCCCACGCGGCCTTATCCTTCTTGGAGAATAGGGCACTGCCCAGCGTTTCAGGATCTACGATTGCCCAAAGTTGCAATTGTCCTGGGCCGAGAGCAGGAGGACAGTGGGAATGTAGTGATGTGTAGCGGTCGACTTCGTAAGTGTGTTCGTAGGGATTGCCGCTTAGGACCGGCTTTTCATCGTCTGGGTTTTTGGTACCGCTTTTGGACGCTTTGATATTGGTTCCAGAGAGAGTTAAGGAATCGTCGGCTGCCCTGGGAAACGTGACCCGCAGAGCGCCGTATGGCGTCGGCGCACCAGGCTTCTCGTTGGTGCTGGGTTTCTGATTCAGGGCGGGCTTGTCGAGGCTGAGCCTTCGCATGACGACAGGAATGTTTTTGTCTCTGCTGGGCCTCAACGTAAAGCGTACCGGACGCGGCGTAAACGACAGAACAACAGGAAGATCATTGACGGGCATGAATCCATGTTCGCCGGTTATCTTATGAACGGGAGTCTGCGAATCCTTACTGGCAGTCTTCAGCCGTTTGTGCTGTTGCCACAGAAAGTACTGTAGCCGACCCGCAGGCCGAGAATGATGGGTAGTGCGGTGCCTCATCTGGTATGTGCACATGGCGGAGGCTGCCTCGCACGACGCCTTTCGCCATGGACCTGGGCGAGGGCGAGAACGCGGATACCCGGCAGGCGGTCATGATGTGTGATGATTGGGCGATCGTGTATCGCGATTCTCCATCTCTCCTGGTCCAGCCGCAGCCAATGGATAGCAGTTCCTATTTCCCCGTGGCGGTGTGGCCTTAGAAATCCGCGTGGTGTAACAACAATTAGAGGAATTAAACTGCTACGCGTAAAGCGAGACTTATTGGAAGAATGTAATTGATTTCAGATCTTGTCTTTTGTCGGACTCGCTACCAATGTGGCTATTGAAATTGTGGTCGCATCTGTGGCTGTGCAGAAGTGGCAAAGCCACAGTTGTGTGGCTGCGCACCCCCTTTTGATGAAGATACCTTAGGGATGGAAGAAATTGATTTCTTTTTATGTTGAATTTAGTAAAAAGCCGACAAACCACCGGATCAATGACTGCTACTGAAGTTATTGTAGTAGATTCATTCGGGTGAGAGTGCTACGTATAGGATAGCTCGAATCTTCGTAGACGAGATGAAAGCTGAAGCTTCCCCTGCGGAACATTGACCCCGGGGGTGGATGGAACTGGGCCCCTACAATAGAAATAGTACAGGCTATGTCGTAAAATATGTACCCATGCTCTATGGGCATTCACCACTCGATTCATGGCTTCGGGCTATTCACTTATTTCCAGAGCGATCCCTCGTTTGCCTCGTTTTCAATGACCACCCGGCGCGTCTAGCGACAACTCGTGGCTAGCCTTCGAATTCGGAAATACGCGATGTGTGGACGAGAATCTCGTTGTGATACAGATGGATCTAGCACTCGTACCTGCAGCAGGGGAGCTGAACTTCGACTTCGGTTGGGAGGGGCGGCATACTCAGCGGTGCGTTGACCTACACCCGCTAGTCAGTGAAATATAGCATCGACTAGGTCCGTCGAGAAACGTACCAGTCCGCAACATTAGGTAGTAGGTGAGCGCTTATACTGAGTTGGAAATGTCATCGGTTACTTGAATACAGCCTGACCACGTGTGTCAGATGAGGTGATTAGCACAGAACATTGCTCGCAGTGTGTGGCCTTCAGCTCAGAACGGGAGACAATGGGCTGCATGCTTGATTCATCTGTACTCTCTGCTCTTGAGCCTCGTTTCGCAGACTCGATGTGGCAGTGAAGTGCTGTGCACTCGGCGAGAAAATCTCGAAGCTGTAGACAAAATGTCAGTACCAAGCGGGTGAATGTGGTGGATTGAGGGGGACTAATGCAACTTGGAAATGTTTCTCCATTTCCTGTCTGAAACAGAGGTCTCAGCCAGGTGCTTGGGAGAGTATAGCCGATGCAGGTGCAGGTGACGCATCAAAATACCAATGGGGGGTTTATCCTGGAAACCCAACGATGGCGAGGAATGTAATGGTGTAGCCTGGGACGGCATCATGGTTGCATGGTCACTGAAGCACTGAAGACGGTTTGCAAGTGCAGGGCAGCATTGATGCGTGAGTGAGAAGGTGGCAACAGAATTGTTGCCTGGGGTGGGTGGGTCCTAGCAGCGGGGGGTGGCATATAAGGCAAAAGGAAAGCGACCTTTTCCATGGACTGAGATGTTCTGGTCAACCTAGTTGTCTCATGGGTTTTCTGTTTCGGCAGTTTTTCCTTAGAAGAATACCCAGAGGTCACGATTGTCTAGGTGCGCGGGGAACTCGCCTAGAACTTGAACTCCCGGGAGACCGGGGGTTCAAGGCAATTAATATCCCGTAGTATTCTTTTTTGCATTTTTTCCTTCCTTTGCGAGGATTCATCTTGGACCGTTTGCAATGCATTTTAGTGATGCCGCTTTCATGCCCATATGATTTTATTGCTCTGTGTTGGTAGTCCTGTCATTCCATAGAATGTTTACGTTAAAGTTTGCGATGGCCACCTCTTCAACATATGCCCCTGAATGACACCAGGCTGGTTTGAACCAAGAGATGAATGCTAAGTTCTACAGCTGCCAGCTCAGTGTTTGTCTAGGAATACGCTTATTCGTCCTGGTACAACCATCAAACTGACTCCTGCTAAACATATATGGAAGGTAATGACACATTCTCATGGCATGAGGATCCGGAGCATAAATGCACCATTGAAATCAACAGATCTTACGGGGATCAAAGAGCATCCCACGAACTATATACCATTACTACCCTCAATCATACGATTCGGTGACGCCAAGATTTCGACGTCGGCACCATTCTCCTGTCTGTTGTGAAAGTTGCTCGACACGCAGTCGTCACGGTCTCCTTGCCCAGACCGTCTGGAGCAAGGCAACATCTTGCCATGTTACATCCAATCAGCCACGCATGATTCAAGTGCTGGACGCCGGTCTAGCGGTTCAGTAGGTAGACAATATACAGTTCGGTACTTCAGTGGCAGATGTACTTCGTACTTGTTTGCTTGATCGTCTAGCCCGGTGCCTACCCCTGTGATTGGCTCGTCATTGGCGGTCTGCCATTGCCGCGGTCACAGCTTCAGAGCGAAGCACCGGCACCAAGCCTGAGCAAGCTGCCCCGGCCATTCCGTCTCCCTTCACTCACCTTTCCCTCTTGCAATCTTTAATCAGCACCATCTCCAGTCGTTAATTCTCTCAATCCGCGACCTCCTCCATCATATTGACTGTGTACCAAGATGGCTTCCTCGGCACTTCTCCGAAAGAACATGCTGAAGCAGTCGGGCTTCTTCTTCCGAACCGGAAATCTATTCTCCTCTGAACCCCTCGCCGGTAAGGTATACGAGGCCTTGCTCGGCCGAGCACAGCAACGCCATTCCAGCCTCGACGAAGCAAAGAACCAGGTAGCCGAACTGATCCAGCAACTATTTTCCGGTTGTATGCACCACGACGTGCTTTACAGAGCCCTGCGCGGGGGTGAGATCTTCTGGAGCGCCGTTTCGGCTGAATGGCGCGCCGCTGCCGACCTTGAGGCCAGCGATGTTCGGGAGATCGTCGAGATCTTCGTCCAGGCACGCTAGGCTTACAACAAGCACCTCAACACGCCGCTCACCCAGCTTGTTGATCAGTGGATTGCCGTACGAAACGAGGTCTCCCAGATGGGACCAGCTGCCCAGATGCAGCTGGCGATCCGACCAACTCAGCTCGGCGCCATCACCAGCGGTCTGCAGGGCTTTAACATTGCCGGAGCCGCCCCGGCTTGGCCGCCGGCGTACTTCAACGCGCAAGAATTCGCCTGCATCACCGATATGCGGATCCGAAATCGCCTCACCAACATTACACCATTCACCCCCTCCCGCTCGGATCAACTCCCGACAGTTCCCCATGCGGTTCGGCGCCACCGGATCGATGTCCAAGTACTATTCGAGGCTGGAAGCATTCATCCCTTACGCCCGCGACGCTTTCACCAACGGCGGCCGCGACATGGTCTTTGGCGTCTTCAGCCACTGGAAGGGTACTCCCCACATGCTCACGGCGGCCCATAGCCAGAACGCGCCGCAGCTCAGCAGGGAGACCTACTGGACCAAGCGCTGTGGCCGCACAGCCGTAACCATCGTCCTGCGCCGGCTACCGACCAACCGCATCCAGCTCGTCATCTTCGACCCCTCGATGAGACACCCGTGGGCACGAGAACCTCTGACCATGACGACTGGCTTGTGGAATGGACCAGTGATCCAGCAGCTGAAGCAGGCTTTCAACACCTCGGCCACTGGAGTATGGTGCGGAGGAAGAGTGTCCAACCGGATGGGCCAGCTCGGGATCAGACTGTCAGACTCCGTGCAACTCTCCTGCGGCTTTGTCTGGGACGTGGCCACTGGCCGATTCGATACAGAATCACTGGAGGACATGCAGTTCGACCAGCAGTGAAGGTGGCGTGCCTGGTAGGCGGCGATACGAGAAGACATGCATATGCAGATTCAGAAAGTGAGACACCCATAGCCATGGAAGGCAGGTAGTCAGTGTAATATTAGACGATCATCCCATTTATGAGGTTTCCCCCGAAAACGTGATTGGCCCCAACGTGAAGTGACAATGCTGAGTGGAACATGGGCGACAACGTCCAAAACAAAATTCAACCTCCAAACAGAACGATCGCTCCTAAATACACCGTCCCATCCGCGGTATATCAAACTTTTTCAACATGATGGGCGGTTCATAACGGTCGCCTCGAGCTCGCGGTCGGGATCACGGCTCCACTTTTCCCGTACCGGCCGGGCGGGAACCACATCATGCCTCCGTCAACGGTCCCAGGCACGTGTCTCCGACTTGACGGCGCCAATGAAAGCTTCCCCTTATTCGACGGTGAGGTTCACCCACGAAATGTCGTCCTATACACCCTACCAAGCAACTTGAAGTTGATAACGAGTATAGTAGACATAGTCCGCAGTGGAACTAACAACGCTAACAGACCCATCCCGAGCCTTGGTGACCTTGTCTTGACTATTCACGGTGATCTTGTCTTGACTGTTCATGGTGATCTTGTCCGGTTTGTGACAAGACTAAGTAGGCGTGTTGCCGTTCAGCGATCTAAGTTCTGGGGCCTCTACGCAATCGAGCGCATCCTAGGCCAGCTCTTCGGCCGCGGACCGACCTGCCGGAAACCACCACACGACATCGTACCCGAGCGCGCTCGTTGCGGACTCCGCCTCGTCGACCAGGCCGCCCTGCAGCCCATGTCTATCGTGCACCACTACCGGCTCGTGTAACCATGGTCCGAGCTGTTCCGCGCCATTTACGTACCCGCGGCGCCGCCGGACCTGGGCCTGGACTGGCTGCCGGAGAAACACGCGGCGCGCCGAGCTCGCCGTCGCGGACGAGCTGGTGGGCGTTGCGACTGTGAAGTGCCAAGTCGGGTATGTGCGACGCGACCATCTGCTTCCTGTTCCAGCCGCTGATGCGGCGGGCGCTGCGCTTGACGCAGGATCTGACGGAATCTTCTCCCACCACCAACGCGTCTGAAGCTGGCGTCCTAGTCCCCAGTCCCCGACGTCTAAGAGAAGAAGGGAAGGAGGACTGTGAAGAAGGCACATGGGTAGACGGAAACGGATGTAGAAGGGAAAGCGAAAGCACAACACCCCCTGTGGCAGCCGACAGCTTCTGGTTGACATGCAACCCGATCCGCACGTGCGAGCGCGTCATCCGGGCGCCCGAGGGCTCGGTACTGGGCGCGTACCCAATGACCTTCATGCCGGCGCATTACATCTGGATCGCGAGCAACACCCTGCTGGCGCACGCGCTGCTGGCGGTCGACGGGCGCACCAGGCTCATGCCGCGGTTTTCCGACGGTGGGACGCCCGGCGACGGCGGGGGCGAGGAAGACGCTGGTCGTCGCAGTGGCAGTCAATGGGATGTCAGGGGTGAGGCTATTGACTATGGCGTTTTCGTCGATATTTCTGGGTCTTGTCTCATATTGATGTTGGTGTGTTGAGCTCAGGCCCGGTATGGAGGGCATGCTGGACGTGTACAAGAGGCTGTTCAGGAGGTCAACGAGGGAACTCATCAGGAAAGGGCTGGTTTCATGAAATAGCCGTTGGCATTAGTAGCGGTTTTCAGAGTCTATCGTCTAAGTAACTTTTGGTTTTTCCATCATGCATCATAACATCTCTCTGGTCGGCCGTCCCAACATGCTCGCCCCTACCTCCTCACGGCTTGACCGCAGTCTCGCACATCTCCAGCTCTCCAAACGCCTTCTTGACCTCGTCGATCTTAGCCACACCCTGCATGTAGGCGACGACATTGGGGAAGTCCTTGCGCATCGCGGCATCGACGAAGTATTTGAGGCCCCAGAAGAGCGGTGCCATGACCATGACGTCGGCCATAGTGATAGCGTCGCCGACGAGGAACTTCCGGCCGCCCTGCAGGCCGACCTCGAGCCTCTTTAGCGCGCGGCTGAGGGCCGCTATGCTGGTGTCGTACTTCTGCTGGTCGAAGGGGTATATCTTGAAAATCAGCATGAGCGCCGGCGCCAGGATGTGGGGCACGAGCTCGTTGTCGGCGAAGCACGTCCACTCGAGGATCTTGGCCTCGACCTTGGGGTCGTCGCTGCCAAGCAGCTGCGCGGCCTTGGGGCCCGAGCGCGCGATATAGGTGCAGATGGCGACGGTCTCGGCGATGCAGACGCCGTCGGCGCCCTCAAAGGCCGGCACCTTGCCCAGCGGGAACTTGGACAGGAACTCGGGAGTCTTGTTCGACTCGCCCATCTTGAAGTCCTCGACGAGGGGCACCTCCAGCCCGTTTAGGGCGGCGACCAGTTGGGCCTAGGTCGCGGTTAATCGTGATGGTTGGATCGTGGGGACCCCGTCGGGCGCCAGGCCTCTGGACCACAGGTAATTGATCCGACTACTTGGGGGGATTGCTTACCCGATCCACGCGGAAGTTGCCCGGGTAGGAGTGGATTTTGCCAAAGGGTGCCATCTTGACTGGTAGTGATTATCGATTGTGATTTGGATGCGAGTGTTGAGAAGCGAGGTGAAGATGTTGCAAAGTGATGTCGGGATGTTGCGATCGGCGGCTTCTTTATGTGTCGGCCTCCACCGCCTCCTCAATAAGTCCCCGTATAGTTCAGTGGGCCGGAGACTTCATGTCATATCCAATTAGTAAGCCATAGCCAAGTCGTTTGCTATCTTTATCGCCGACTCGGGTGAAGACACTGCCAGCCTCCAGCTGCATGACTAGTGCGTGGTGGAAGTTTCCGGAAACCACCCGAGTGCCTTTTGGCCTTACGTGGACTTCACATTGCTGGTGGGAGGCTGGGAGCAAAGGAACGGTGAAGTTAATCTGGTAGTGCTATAGAGTAGATCCAGCTTACCAATCTATCATCTTTGATCTTTTCAAGTGCCCACACAAAAGGTAAACTCGCTACAATACGTAAACCCAACCACAACCCCTCAAGCGGAGGTATGATCTGGTTCTGGAATGGTTGTGCTCCTCGCGCATTGAAGGCCTTGCACTTGAAGGACGGCCAGTCGCTCAGTGGCCGAGTAACCAAAGTGTTCCAGACTGTTGCAACTTGACAACGGCAGACGCAACGCGACTGGAGGTTCAGCTACGCAGTGCGCAGATGATTGGGAAAGCTTCTTGATTGTAGCGAAAGACGCAGATGAGATCCGAGTCAGCCTCCTCGAATGGATGGCTGTGTCTGGACAGAGCCGGCCAGGGAAGAGACAGAGCCGGCCAGGGAAGAGAACTGTATTGGTAAGCATATGCAGCCAGCCTCCAGAAGGAGGGTTTGATGTCAATATAGCCGCCCAAAGTGCAACCCATGCTCATCAGGTTTGTCAGCAGTTGCGCTTTGTAATGTGTTTCGTCTCAGTCTTCATTGTTGGCTGACTGGGAGGCAATGCGTGGTGTGGAGCAATGGAGGTCGGGACTGGGCAACACGACACGCTTCAATAGTCATTGTTGAGTGAACATGGCATGGCAACTCGATCGTCGAACGCTGTTTCGCAGGACGTTCGAAAATTATGCGCGCATATGAGCCGACTGAAGGCGTTGCCGAGATTGTCTCCGAGAACGACCCAAGAAGTCTCCGAGAATGGTCCAGGGGACGCGAGAGGGTCATACGTGCAGGCAGCCGCTAGACAAGAAGTGCAGTCCCAACACACCGATCTCGCAGTCATCAGATTAAATACACGAAGTATCTCGCGTTGATCAAGATAATGACTCCAAGGTTTCAGGGTTCTGCAACGGCCCTTGCCACGGCAGCAGCCTCGGTGGACATTCACCAATACGTCCCGGGATCCAGCCGTCCTCATCACACCGCAACGGAGGCGTTACACTGTCCTGACTCCCCCTCACATACAAAATAGCCGCCTCCGCGGCCTCATCACCCCTCACCACTAACGCCTCATTGTCCGTAATGAAGCACTGAAACTCCCACAGCGTATCGAAGCTCCTCAGCCTTCGCCCCAGCTGGACCTCCCAACTCCCAGTATCACTTCCGAACGTCCCGCCGTCGGACAGCAGCATATCCCACAGCATTCCCAGCGTCAGACCCGAGGGCGGGAGGTCCGCCTGCGCGTAGCTCACGACGTCAGCGCCCTCGAAATCGCAGGCGTAGCTCCTAACGACGTCCAGGTGCGTGATGGGCGCCGTGCCAAAGGTCGGGCTGAGGGCGCGCCAGCTAGCGTCTGGGCGGAGGTACGCGGCGCGCGTATCGCGGTCCCGCGCCCAGGGGAAGCGGCGAAAGGGGCGCGTAGAGTCGCCGTTGAGACTGAGGTAGAAGATACGTGTTTTCTTCTCTGCCTCGGTGAAGCAGGCGGCCGTGTTGAGGATATACCCGAACCGGGCCTTCAGGAAGCCCGGGAACGAAGACGGCGCGGGTGCGTTGAGGTGGTGCCCCTGCGTGTTGAAGAGGATGTCGCGGGCGAGGGCGTGGAAGCGGCTGCTGGTGCGCTGTGATGAGATCAGCGATTGGAGGTCGGTGTTGGCTAGCCTCTCCAAGATTGCAATCAGGATCTCGTTTGGCAGATTTGGAAGTGAGGCCATTTCGACCGACACGTAAACTGGAAGTGAATAGTTATAGACTCAGAAGCTCCAGCGCGTGTGCTTTTCTGGTAAACAGACAGGCCTCTGTGTACAGTGTTGGAAGGAGTCAAACTGCAGGAGTGGAAAGTCCCGGGGTATCATGTTCAGGTTGTAGTCACGTGCCACTGGTGGTCAGAGTGACGGAGCAGTTCACGTGACGAGCTAGTCAAGAACTAGACAGTGTCTGCAAGGGGTGCACGGTGATAGATGTGATTTCACTTGCGCGACTGGGAATCTGTGACAGACAATGAGGTTTCTGTCAAAAGTCTCCGCTGGTCCGTATTTCAAGGCACTCAATGCTCATTGCCATGATTAACGGATCTACTAAGCTTGGAACCGTGCCAGCTCTGCCGCCACGTCCCGCTACCATTCTGCAACGGTAACCACCCAGCATATGTCTCCCCCAAGGTAAGTATTAGGCTTTTCTGTTTACTGCTGTCAGGGCTTCCTTCACCAGCTCTTCAATTTTGGTGGCCTTATTCAAGAGCTGGAGTAATGCCACTTCCAAACCAAAATTTCTGGTCAGCCAGGTCCTCAGCTCACCCGCCACCAGGCTGTCCACGCCGTAGTGTGAGACGGGTTTGCCCGTATCAATGTCATCCACTGCCACGCCGAGGAGATCCGACATGCGACTCGCCACGGCCTCCCGCACAATCACCAGCTTTTCGGTTGGCGAACTCGCCTTACTCAAGCTGGCCGTGAGCGGCGGGGCTCCTCCAGAGCTGTTGGCGGCACCAGAGGCGCGTTTCTGAGCCCGATCGGCAATCGCTTGCACGACTGCCTGGAATCGGCTATTCCTGTACCACACCAGATCGTCCGTCCGACCGGTCTCTAGGTACGGGATGAACCGTGCAGGTTCCAGGCCTGTCACGATCTGGGCCAGGCAGTCGGGGTTGCTCTTGCCGAGGAGCGAACTATCCAGAGACGGATGCGGCTGGCACAGCGCGCCCTCGACAAATTGGAGGAACTCGTATTCCGAAGTGCCGTAGGTGGCATTACGCTGAAGCATCTGTTGAAAGCCAATAGACGCATTGACTGACCCGACTTCGAGGATCAGTCCCAGCCCAAGGGCCGTCGCAGGCAACAACTGCGAATGCCGGAATCGGGCGAAGGCGTTCTGGAAGGCAATCGCCGCTGTGTAGGCGCCCTGACTGGGAGTTCCCACGGAGCCTACGATGGACGACGTCATGAGGAAGAAGTCAAGCGGGAAGTTCATCGTGGCACGATGGAGGTTCATTGTGCCCCCGACTTGAGGAGCAAGGACAGACTGGATCTGAGACCAGGTGGCGTTGTGGAAGAAGGCGTCCTGTCTATGGTTAGATCTCACAGCTTGTTCGGTTCGACAGGGGAATTGACGCTTACACCTTCTACCATGGCAGCGTGGATGACTCCCTTAACCAAACGCTGACGAGCGATCTCTTGCACAACCGTGTTGAGAGTATTCTCATCTGTCACACTGCAGCGAATGACTTCTGGCTTCGCACCCGCCTGAAGGAGCTCGTCCACGAAGGAGACGGCTTCAGGCTTATCTGCTCCGGACCTGGGAATGAATACTAGATGCCGAGCCCCGCGCTCGACCATCCAGGCAGCCAAGCTGCGCCCAAGCCCGCCCAGGCAGCCGACGAGTATATATGCGGCATTGGAGTCGAATGACACGCGAGACGCCGATGGCGATATCTTTGCATCTGGTCAGTCACCGCCAAAATGCAAGCAGTCCCAGTCAGATGAAAACTTGCCTCCAAGTTTGCCTTTTCGTCGTCGAATGTCACGACCAGCTTCCCTGTATGCAGTCCCCTGGAAAAGTGGCTCATGGCGGGCTCTAGTTGAGATATATCGTACGTAGTCAGATGGTAGATCGGACCGATGACGCCTGCCTCCAACAGCTCGGTAACTTCCTTCATCAACCTATGATTGATTATGTTAGAGCCATGGCATCGACAAGGGGGCGAGTGGTGATTCTACCTTGAAATAAATTCGGGCTTCTGACGGTAGATCAAACTCATGTCAAACGACGAGAATGTGGCGTTTCTTTGGAAGATTTCAAGTCCAAGCCGACCACCTCCAAGGACGTCTGTTCTGCCGACATCAATGAAGCGGCCCAGGGGTGCGATGCATCTCCAAGTCTCATGCATCAAGTCGCCACCGGCGCTGCTAACGATCACATCAACGCCCTTCCACTTGGTGGCCTACATGATATCATTCACGGCGTCAAGCTTCCTGGAATCGAAGACATAGCTCGCTGGAATGCCGAATTCCTCAATGGGGATCCTGCGCTTCTTGTCAGTACCTGCCGTGGCATAAATCTCAGCGCCTTGGTGCCGAGCGACCCGCATGACGGCCATGCCCAGCCCGCATGTAGCAGCCTGTATCAAGATGGACTCGCCTCTCTCCAGGCGAGCCAGGTGCTTCAGTGAGTAGACCGATTTGAGGTAGGCAACGGGCATCGACGCGGCACCCTCCGAGGACACTCCATCGGGAATCTTGGCGACGAGGGAAGCTGGAGATCTGAGGTAATTGCCAATGTTTCCCAGAATCATGCCGAAGACTCGGTCGCCAGGGTTGAATGACTTTACTGCCGATCCAACCTGTGTCACGATGCCAGACCCTTCGATGCTCAACTTGTTCGAGTCAAACCTAGCCGTGGCGACAGCGAGATCCTGAAAGAAATAAGCACTTAGTAACAGATAAGAGTGAATGCTTGAGAGAGTGGGAAGAGAAGCTGGGCTAACCTTCATGTTCAGGCCAATGGCTGCGGTCCTTATTTCGATCCAGTCTTCCTTTAATGGCTCGCTGAACTCTGGGTCGCTGCGAAAGTAAAGCGAGGAAAGCAGACCGGGCTGTCGGTACGCAGCCTTCAGGGGGCCCTGGGTGTCAATTGAGCACTCTTGCGGATCTTGGAGAGACCCGTGACGCAGGCGCAACTGCTCGTTGAGAGTCTCGTCGGGGAGGAGTCGCTCGACATGGAAAACGCCTCCACGAAGCAAGCACTCATAATCCACGGGTGTGGAGTCTGCAGATTCCTGTAGTAAGTCGTTCAGCTTGTGGATGACCAGCTGAGCACACCTTCGGGGCGAGGTGTATTGGCGGTGGTCGACCTCGTTGAAAGCGTACTTGGACAGCACATTCTCGGCAGAAATAGACCTCAGCATACCCTTCATAATGGAGGATTCGCCAGGGTTCATCAGGTCTGCTGCGACCCATACCATTAATGGCGTTTGTGGGAACAGGCTTTGTAGGGCTGCGAAGTACTCGTCGCCCCGACAGTGGATCGTCGGTCCCTGCAAATCCACAAGGGAGATCAAGACGCTGTTGGGTGGGATATCGCGGGCATGGAAGAGTTCGACCAGCACTGCGTTGATGTCTTGACTGGCCAGGACATCTGTAATGGCCTCGGAAAGTAGTGGAGGTGCATCTCTGTAGATGATGTACACATTCGATCGTTTCTTGGCGACCCTCGGATACCTCGGATCCCTCTGCAGCGGGTCTCAAGGCTCTTGAGGGTATGACAGTTGTCATTCTCTGATCACCAACATACTATATGACGGTTATCGTTAGCGGGCGAGTTGAATGGCTAATACTTGGGGGGTGGGGGGTTGCTTACATCGTCGAGGGAGATATCAGCCCCGGAGATGCCACTGTCTTCCAAGACTTAATCCAAAGTGGCTTTCTCCAGTATCACCTTCTCATCTTCCCATCTGCCCGCTAAAGTCCGAGAAAGGACTTCACAGCCCAGACCTGGGCGCGTCGTTTCAAGTACGGCTAAAGACCCCGAAGGCTTGAGTAAAGAATGAACCTGCCGGAGCCCCTTTTCAAGGTCGCCAACTTCACCCAGGCAGCCAGCAGCAATGATGAGATCGAAAGAATTCGCCTGGAGCCCTTGAGCTACTGGGTCTTCCAGAATGTCCAGCGTCTGGAAAGACAGTCCTTCGTGGGGCCCGAGTCGAGTCTCTGCCTCTTTAAGACACTAGCCTGCGGCATCGGTGAATACGTACTTGTGGAACCTCTTGAAGGTGGACGTCGACTCCAGCGACTCCAGCACAGCCTCAGTTGCACCCGCCGATCCCCCGCCGATTTCTAAAATTCCCATACGGGGGTGCCGGTGTGCGAGCAGATCCACGAGATGTTGAAGCTGTGGATAAGCACCGCGCACGGAGATGCCTGATGTGAACAGCTCCGAGCAAAGGCCACTCTCTATAAGCAGCTTCAGACTGCTCGTGTCTCCACTCAGAACTCTGTCGATGTTGTCATGCAGCGCCTTCAGGCAGCCGGCCTCTGGAACCTCGCTCAACTCGGCCGCTAGCCTCTCGATCGTGGCGGTTCACTCTCAATTACTGCTAGTCAGGACGTCCATATCATCAGACGAGCTAACCCAAGACTCCACCCAGCGAGCGAAGGCATCATGGTTCTGTTGTTTGCCGACAGAAGGATGCCCCTTGATTCTTACTCCAATGCTGGCAAGAACATTAGCAGAGAGGCTATTCAGCGCGAGTAGGGTGGAGGCCGGCAAGTCTCGAGGGGGGAATATGTCCTTGGCGATTTTCGCCGTCAACGTCTCTACGGCGGGTCTGGCCACGGGCCTCCAGTACGGCTCGCTAGCCGAGCTTGGCGGCGTGGTCGCTGATGCTCGGCCGTAGGTCACGCACTTGAGCTCGCCCATGTCGAGGAGCGGCGCCCCGGACGAATCGAAGAGCTGCACCCGCGCGTAGAGACTGCGCAGACCCAGCATGTTCCCGCCCGCCACCCCCTTCTCCTTCACGCTCCGGGACTTGGGCACCCAGATGGACACGTCGGTAAAGATAGGTACGAAGGACTTCTCGAAGTTTTCGACCTGCCCGGCATGCCACGAGATCAGTGCCAGCTGGATGCAAGTGTCCAGGGTGGCAGGGTGGACTGTGTAGGCTGCCTCGTGGGCAAAGTCCGGCGTAGGCTGGAGAGCGACGTCGGCAGCGGCGATGTTGGAG